GGCCACCAGCTGGGGATCAAACCTTTACCACATGAGCCTTTTGGTGTGGGGCATTACCTATCCAAACCTTACCAGAGAGTGTACTAAGTTGGTGGCTTCTGGCCTTTTTTAACGTGTCTCATGATAAACTACCGGTGCTTGCTTGAATCATGTGAGAGACTTAAAAATCAGTGGGTATTGTTTTAAAATCAGTGGGTATTGTTTTAAAATCAGTGGGTATTGTTTTAGCCTTAATGCCCAGAGGGGAAGAACTAGCCTTACTGCATTCTTTCCCACCCACTAATTATACAGTTGCTAAGAAACCAGCCCATATGACCAGGCCAGAACTGTTTGTAGTCTTGGCACCTAAAGTGGACCAATCATTTCAAAAGTCAATTTCCCTTACCCAATCATGTAATGCCAAAGCATGTAAGTCCCTGCTTGCGTTTCCCCCCCCCCAAAAAAAAACCTCTGTATCCCTAGACCTTGGGGATGCATTCCTCTCCTGTTTCCAGAGGACGTTTGCATCTTGTGTTCGAACTCGTATACAAATAAAAAACCTCATGTATGTACATTCTATTTATTCCTGGTCTTTTGGGGTTCGTGAACTGGGCATAACACATGGAATTGGTATTTTCTTTAAAATTAGACTTATATGTATGAAAGTTTTTCTTGCATGTATGTGTATGTGTGTGTATGTGTATATATATATATACATATATATATGTATATATATATATACATGTTACATATATATATATATGTAACATGTATGTGCCTGGTGCCCCAAAAGATGAGAAGAGGGTGTTGGAACTCTTGGAACTGGAGTTAACAGATTGTAAACCACCATGTGAGTGCTGGAAAACACACGTGGGTTCTCAGCAGGAGCAGTTAATGTTCTTAAAAACTGAGCCATCAGTCCCTGATTCTCAATTTTTAATTGTGCTTCCAAATTACAAAAAAAAAAAAAAAAAAAGACTTTAAAATGTGCATATCCAGAGTCAGTGATAGGTTTTAGTCACTGGTTCAAGACTTTAACATTTCACCAAACCTGCAGACCTGTGAGTTCAATCAAACAGTGCTGAGGACCCACACTGGTAAGTTGTCCTCTGAGCTACACAAACTGAGGTTGCTCTCTTAATGAACAGAAACTGTTCTGAAGCCTAGCGCTGTGGCACACAGCTGTAATCCCAACACTCTGGGAGGCAGAGACAGAGGGATGGATCTCTCTGAGTTTGAGGCCAGCCTGGTCTACAAAGCAAGTCCTGGACAGCTAAAGCTACACAGCCAGCCAAACTATTTCTCGGAAAAAAAACAAAAAACAACAAAAAGAAACTGCTCAGTAGTTTTACTTTCTATGTAAGTTTGGGCTCACTTTGTACACAGTTATTTTTATATAACTGGGTTTGTTTGTTATTACTCTGTTCTTAGCCCTCTAAAAACTAATCTGGTTTCCTTCCCGCTTCCATCCTACAGATTCTTGCACTTTCTAGCTTCCCCTAAGAGCCAGCTCCTTCCCCTGGACCTCTTCAGTGGCTTAATCCCTACTTCCTCTTCTAACTCCTCCTCCCCAGGCTGGCAGGAAGTCAAGTTCTATTATCTTCCCTGCTCATCAATGGCTAGCAGTGTTTACACAACAGGAGACAATTGAGTAGCAGTGTTTACACAACAGGAGATTGTCAGAACAAGAATTGCAACCAAATATGGGGGGGGGGGAGGGATGTACAGAAATCAGCATTTAAATTACACAATAACCTTATGCCTACAGCACACACATATACGAACACTTATTAATGTAATAAAAACCTTTTAAACTACCTATGTTTCTAAAGCTGGGCATCATGATGCACACCATTAATCTCAGCACTCAAGAGGCAGAGGCAAGCAGATCTCTTGACTTTGAAGCTAGCCTAGTCTACAGAGTTAGTTCCAGGGCAACCAGGGGTACACAGAGAAACTCTGTTTGGGGGCAGACGGAAGACGAGGGAAGAAAGAAAAAGAAAAAATCGGCATTAATCAATGTGGAGCCAAGGTAGTAATTTTTAAAAATTATAAGTGTAGTTCATTCATAGTTGAAAACAAACTCGTGAGAGAGCACGTGGTCTCGATCAGCTGAAAACAGACAAGTGAGACAACGTGATGTTTTGCTGGAAGCTGTCCCATGAAAGGGGAGTGGCTTTTGCCAGCTGCTAAAAACAGCGTTTTGTGGACGCGGATAAACAAGCCCACGAACAGGGGAGAACCCTTTTGCATTGCAGCTCTTGTAAGGTGCACATCCGTTTGCGGCTCTTCGTTTTTCTACACTTGACTTCTCGGAGAGAAATGCTCCACAGCAGAGAAGTTCTTGTGGCACTCCAGCTGAGTCCGCCCAATAGCGCCAATTCGGACTTTTTGTTGTTTCTGCTGGATCTTGCCACCGCTACTGATTTGGGTTGTTGTTTGGTGTTTGCTATTGGACTAGACTGCCGTTATCCTCTGACAAGGCAGAGCGGAAACCCCACAAGGAACGTCTAAAAAGGTCCACACATCCTTTTCCTAATAACCTTCTTTCAGTGGGTCGGAAGGAAAAATAGAAGCATTTAGAAACCCCAAATAAAATAGGTTTTTTTTTTCTTTTGAAAAATCGAAGCCTACATACCTGTATGGGTGGTTATGGGTGTTTTGCTTTCATGCCTGTTTACATGTGTGCCTGGTGCCTAGGAAAACCAGAAGAGGGTACCAGATCCCCTGGAACTGGAGTTACTCAAGTTGGGAGCCATCATCTGGGTGCTGGGAATGGAATCTTGGTCCTCTGGAAGGATAATCATGGAGTCATCTTCTCTACCCCAGTAGCAGTATTTTTAACAATCACCTGAGGTGATTCTGTTCTCCACAGTTTGAAGAACACTGGGTTCTGTGTCTTCTATCAATATTTCCCCATCAGTTTGTTTTCAGTAAAAAAAAAAAAAAAGTGGCTTAAATTAGCTGAAGTGGAAAAGACCAGTATGAGGGCGAGCTATAGAGTTCAGTCAGGGTACTGGCAGGTTTTCAGCCATCTGCTTGGGTTTGCCTTTCTTCGTCAGCTTCACCTTCAGCCATCTCGACACACCCATAAGGCAGTGCTGCTTCATCTAAGCCAGGTAGAAACACCATTTCCATGGAACTGTGGACCCAGAAATAAACCCAAGCAGCTAAAGTCACTGATTATTTACATATTTTAATTTTGAGACAGGGTCTAGCTGTGTAGTCCTACCTGTCCTGAAGCTTGCTCTGTAGACCAGGCTGGCCTCTCATTCAGAGATCTGCCTTCACCTGCCTCCTGAGTGTTGGGATTAAAGGTTTGCACCACCACTGCCTGGCTAAAAATAAACTTTAAATAAAACATGCATTAGCCATATGATTCTCCAACTCTAATTCTAAATATTACTCAAAAAAAAAAAACAAACAAAAAAAAAAAAACAACCCTTGAACTCTAAAGTCATGGGTATAAATGTTCTCAGCAGTGTAACTGATGATACGCAAAACTGGAAGCAATGGAAACAACCCTCAACCGGTAAATGAACGAAGTGTGGTTTGCCTGTGGGATACAAGTCAGTATCAGAAGGAAAGAAAACATCAATACAGAAAAATAAATCTGAGACACCAGAGTACACAGAAGACAAACACAAATGTTACATGCTGTATGATTCCACTTATGTGTGCAGACATCTCCCAAGGTCAGGTTAAATGACTTAACACCTAAGACTTTAATAACAAGACAGCAAAGGCACAGGCAAACACCCACCACTCGAGAGGCAACCTATCCACAAGTTCCCCACACAGACCACACTCCAAGTGTTTTACTGTTCTCTGATGTTTTGATGCTTTTGGTATTTTTGAGAAAGTCTCAATATATATATATAGGCCTGGCTGGCCTTGAATCGTTCATGATCAAGATCCTGCCTGTCTCCCAAGATTGCAGGCTGCACGCACCACCACCCTGGCTGTCTGTCTGTTTTATTCTGCCCACTGGTGACTAAACCTTATTATACATGCCAGGTAAGTGTTCTACCACCAAGCCACATCCTTAGCCATGTATGTATATAGTATTATGCATATATTTATGTATTACGTATGTATTTATTTATTGGTTTTTCAAGACAGGGTTTCTCTGGAGCCCTGGCTGTGCTAGAACTCTGTAGACCAAGCTGACCTTGGACTGGAGATCTGCCTGCCTCTGCCTCCCAAGTGCTGGGATTAAAGGCATGCTCCACCACCACCTATCTCTAGCCCTGTAATTTTGGTTTGGTTTAAGTTTTTGGTTCTTTGACACAAGGTTTCCCCAGGCAGGACTGAAATTTACTGAGCTGCTAAGGATGACTCTGAACTCCTGATATTCCTGACTCTACCCACAAAGTACTAGGATTACAGGCATGCACCACACATCAACAAGGATTTTTTGCTGCGACTGAATCCTGGCTTTGGGAAAGTTCAAATCGGAAGTTCCCAGGAGGGTTTGATGATACCCTATGTAATTAAGCCAAAAGCAGGTCACCAGTTAGACAAGTTGTAAAGCCACAGTAAAGATCCTGGGGTCACCAGATGATGTTTAGACTTTAAATGCTAATGCCCTTATCTTGTGACATACTAAAAATCCAGTGGTTCCCCAAACCACTGGATAACTTTCATCTACTTATAAATCAACTCCACATTCCAACCAGTGATAGAAGGCAGACCAGCTACTATCTGAGACTTGAAACAAAAGAAGTGATTGAGAGCAGAGACCAGAAGGTAACTTTTTTTTTTGGGGGGGGGGGTTGAGAGGGGAAGCAGGGTTTCTCTGTGTTGTCCTGGACTTGCTTTGTATACCAGGCTGGTCTCAAACTCAGAGATCCGCCTGCCTCTGCCTCCCTGAGTGCTAGGCTTACAGGCGTGCACCACTGTGCCTGGCCAGAAGGTAACTTTTAAGGATAGAATTATTTTCAATATCTCTTTGAAAGATCCCCGGAGGGTATCTTCCGTCTGAGACACCCCCTCCCAAGGAACAACGAGGCCATTCGGATGCAAACAGCAAGAGGCTTTTATTTTGATACATGGGTACCCGGGGCAGCAGAGTCATTTGGAGGACTTTGCGCGCCCCCTGGGTGGAAAGCTGGGGTTTTTATAGGGTTTTAGAGCAGAAGCGCTGGTACAGAAGCAAGAGGCATGGTTACAGGGGGCTGATTGGTACGTTTACATGAGACCACGGTTTGCGTCAAAGTTTGGCAGAGACACCAAGATTTCAGGAACTGGGTGGTCAAAATGGTCATGATGACCCCTTGACGTGGCCCGCCACCTGTTGTTTTTCTTAGGACCCTTATCTTAACTGGAACAGTCTCACAGATATCCATGAGGGTGATTAACACAAACTGTTTTTATAGCTCAACTGGGGCAGCCTGACCGCAGATATCCCAAGTGGGTGACACAGCTGGGTTTCTTAGTAATTTTTCAGTTTTCCATTTAGCCTTCAGAGTTTTACAAAACAGTGGTGTCCCACAAAATGGCGTTAGCTATGTTTAACTTAGGGTGAGGCAGGGGTCTTTCATCTTGATGGCTGTATTATTAAATATAGAATTCACTAAACAGCACATTGATGGATTACAAGGTAATATGAGGAAGATTATATATAATATATTCCATTGTGTGAATATCCAGTTTGTTCATTTTTTTTTGCTCAGTGACAAGTAGACTGTGTCCAGGCTTTGCTTGTGAGCAGGACTGCCATGAACATCCTTCACAGGTACACTGGCATGCCTGTCTGAGTTTCTCTTGAATTAATCCTTAGCACTGTAGTAACTGAGTTAGAGGACAGTGTATGTTCAGTTACAGGAGACAAACTGTTTTCCAAAGTAGTTGTGATAGTTGGTCTGAGGTGTCCATAAGACTGAATTAAGGCCTCAGACTGGTGAAACACATCAGTACATCTATAGGGATGTTTCCAGAGAGGACTGGCACGTGGGAAGGCGACTAGTGAGAAAAAGATCCACCCTGACCTTGAGTGGGCCCTCAAAAAAGCAAACTGCCCAGATGGTGAAGGCATGTGTGGAGAAGGCAACACTCCAGCCAGCAAGTCTCTTCCTGCTCCGAGTGATACTGCCTACCACCATGGCTGCCCACTGACCTCAGACTGCTCAGCTCTTCAACACTGATTCAACAGCAGCAACCTTCCAGGAAGCTTCCAGACTTCAGCGTTGGACTGAAATGCCTCAGGCATCCTTGGGAACCTAGTTCTCTCTCACCTCTTTGTGCAGATGGCCATTCTTTGGTGGGCTACCCAGCCTCTTTCCAATCCAACACATGCCACACATACACGTATGTGTATGTGTGCACACCTTGTGAATAACTTGAATAGTTTTGGCTCTTCCCACTTTCTTTATCCCTCCTTTATTGCCATTCTTTTTGTCTTTCATGCCTTCCCTACTAATCCTTATTTGGGTATTAGAAGTATCCATTGAAGGGCTGGAGAGATGGCTCAGCAGTTACAAACACTTGCTCCTCTTCCAGAGGTCCTGAGTTCAATTCCCAGCAAAACCACATGGTGGTTCACAATCATCTGTAATGGAATCTGATTCCCTCTTCTGGTGTGCATGAAAACAGAGCACTCTCATATACATGAATTAAATAAATATATAAAAAAGAAGTAGACATTGAGAAGGATATTAGCAGAGGTTAGGACATCTCCTTTCTCGAGATTTGTATTATAAGTAAGGGCCCTGGAAGACCTTCCAGATTTTAAATCAAGAGAAGCTAGTAAGATAGAACTCCAGGGAAGATGCTCTGAGAGGGACCCTCACCAGCCTCTATTCATGGCACGTAATCACTGCCTGCTGTTTACTCTATACTTTGTATTGCTAAAGCTGAGAGATCTTTGGTGTCTGGGTTTCGCCGTATAGCCTCTTTCTTGGCTATCCACCTGGTGGATATATGTAACCTGCATGCAGTTACATATATAAGCAATGCTGACACTACAAGATGCCTTCTTTTCACAAACGTTATAAAACAACTAGCATGCAAGTCAGCACATTATATAATGTCACCCCAAAACACTACGTATGAGGTAAAGCTCTGCTACACTGTAAGAATTTTGACAGATTTAGAGCTGGGCCACAGACTAGAAATAAAAACATTTAAAATATCAGGAAATTCCTAAGTGCTTGGAAAGTGAAAGGAGGCAGGCTGCCATTCTGAAGATGAGGAAATCCAATTATTTCCCAGTCCCGACCATATCTCTAACAGCTCCATGGCTGTCACACAGGAATTCACAGAACACCTGCTGTTACGTGAAGAAATAAAGGAAGAAACATACAAAAACACTATGTACCAGAAGCAGCTTTTGCAGTCACACCTGAAGGAAAGCCAGAAGCATTCAGCTTAGAAAAGCTTTCTCAACGTAAGAGGATTACCAACAGTTTTAGTTACGTATTCCTTAAATTAGATCCTGTGCCATATGGAGACACTTGGGAGGCTGGTGGGCCTGTGGGCTCATAAACTGGAACTCCGCAGTGTGGGAGGGCTGGAGGCCTGGGCTGGGCACTCTGGAGAGAGTGCTTGGCAGTGTCAGCTGACACACAGAACCATAATGGAACTCAGACTGGTGTGATGTGTCCAACTACAGGCCCTCCCTCAAAGCACTTCAACAACTTTATTGGCTAAATGTTTCTTCCCAACTTTACAGCTTGGACTATGAGATTATTCACTGATAGTGTCTAAATCTCTAATGAAATAGAAGCCTTGGTAGAGCTACAAGACAGAAGTGAGAGTATGAGTTAGAAACCGGCTGACATACAAAGTGAATAAAGTATAATTAATAAAAATAAAAGAAACCGGCTGACAATCCACAGTTGGGCAGCAGTCCCGTTTATAACCCTCTTTACAAAAACGAGCAGGATGGAGACATGCCTTAGGATGCATCTCTTCTGCTGGTCTCAGTTTCACTTCCTCCGACCGCCACTGTCTTCCTACTTCGGGGACAGGCCAACACTATGGCAGCCTTTGCATTTTGCAGAAGTACATAGGCCCAAAATTGGCCATAAGGTTTGGTATTACCAGCTCCCCAACCAGGCAGGATGGGAAGAAAAAGAATGTGTCCGTGAAAAGCTTTCGGAAGTGAGACAGGTCTTCCACTTGAACATTGATGCTGTACTGATTAGCCAGAAGCTCAATGGCACCTTGCACCACATACTCATTCTGTAAGTGTGACAGTGAGCAAGTGGAATAGACAACATGACCTCCCGGTTTGGTGGCAAGGAGTCCAGCCCTGAAACCAAGAAGAAGAAGAAGCGATGACTAATAAACCTCTCAGAAGTGAGAGAGCAACCTGGGGCTGAAAACACGAGCAGGGCAGTCCACCACCCGACGGAGTAGCAGAAGACAAGCTTTCCTCGAGGGGACCTTGTCTTTTCGGTTCTTGCTTTTCTTTTTACTTTGTGAGACATGACCCTGTTACATAGCACAGAGTAGTCTCCAAGCTGTCATCCTCCTACTTCAGCCTTTCAAGTACTAGGATTGAGGCCATGCCACCACACCCAGCTCTAGAAAGCCTCCTTACAGGAACCCTTTGATGGGCCTGGAGAGACTGCTCAGCAGTTAGGAACATACGCTGCTCTCAGTGGAGAGCCCAAGTTCAGTAGCCAGCACCCATGTCAAAATTTCCTGTAACTCCAAGTCCAGTGGGATTCAAGATCTTTGACACCTACACTCCATATGCACATACCTACACAAAGACATACATGCATACACATAATTAAAAATAATAAAAAATAAACCTTAAAAAAAAATAACAATCCTTTGAAGCCTGATTCTGGTTATGAACTAAACCCCGATGTTGGCTGTCAACTGAATTCTCTCCTCAGTCATAGAGACCCCTGGCGCTTAAGCTCCCTCCCCTTTGTCTCCTCTTTTTTTCCTTCCTTTCTCTTTCTCTTCTACCTTTTTCTATTTATTTCTTACCCCCACCCTCCACCTCCCGAGGTTTCACTGAGTAGCCTTGGCTGACTTGGAACTCATAATCTAGACCACACTGGCCTCAAACTCAGAGATCCTTCTGCATTTGCTTCCCAAGTTCTGGGATTAAAGGCATGTACCATGCCTGGCTTCATTCTATCTAGCTATTCTATCTATTCCTTCTTTCTATTGATCTGTCTATCTATCTGGTCATTTAGTTAATTTCAAGTCAGGATTTCTCTGTGTAGCCTTGGCTGTCCTGAACTTGCTTGCATACCAGGCTGACCTCAAACTCACAGCGACCACTTGCCTCTGCCTCCCTGAGTGCTGGGATTAAAGGTGTGAACCACCATGCCTGGCTTCTCTTTAAAATAAATAAATAAATAAATAAATAAATAAATAAATAAATAAATAAATAAATAAATAAATAAATAGATGTAGCAGTTCCTTTCCTTTAAAAAAAAAAAAAAAAGCTAACTACTTATTTTATGTGTATGTGTGTGCCTGACTATATGGCTATGTACCACATTCGTGTAAGAGCCCATGGAGGTCAGAAGAGGCATCAGATCCCCTGTATGGAGTTACAGATGGTCATGAGCAGCCGTGTAAGTTCTGGGAACCAATCCTGGGTCCTCTGCAAGAGCAAACAGTGCTCTTAACTGCGGAGCCTTCTCTCCAGCCACTTTCTCTCTTTCTCTCAGATAGGGTCTCACTATGCTACCCACGTTAGCACCGAGGAAGACGCGACTCCTAGACTCAAGCTATCCTACCTCAACTTCCCAAAAAGATAGACCATACCTGACAGACTCTGCCTTTCAAAAGTGTGAAAGTCACTGGCATTAAGGGTAAAATGGTGAGGCAGTACAGCTATTATTCTAGAAAGGACCATCTCATGAAGCCTGTCACCTCCACACAAATCTCCAGCCAAGACTCTTCTGCGTGATGGCCTTGGCATGCTTCCAGGGCCCAGGCAAGACCTCAGGTGACTGGACTCTAAAGTCTGAGATCCGTAACCATGCCACTCACGCGAGAAGCTGCACCTGCAGCGTGGGCAACATCTGCCGCTCCTTCTTCCTTGACCGCTGAAAGATGTTGTTCTCTTCCTCATGAAGGGCGTGGCGGTCTGTGGTGCATGGCACGTCCACCAACACCTGCCCAGAGTGTTAAGAGAGAAAGCATTAGAGCTCCTTCTAACTTAAGTCAGTTTAGGCCTCCTCCAAGTTTGAAGGTAACCTAGGCTACAGTTTTCCAGGCCAGCCAGGGGTACAGAGTAAAATCCCGTGTCAAAAATTAAAATTAGGGGTCTGGAGAGATGGCTCAGAGGTTAAGAGCATTGGCTGCCCTTCCAAAGGTCCTGAGTTCAATTCCCAGCAACCACATGGTGGCTCACAATCATCTATAATGAGATCTGGTGCCCTCTTCTGGCTTGCAGGTGTACATACAGGCAGAACACTGTATACATAATAAATAAATCAATCTTTTTAAAAATTTAAAATTAAATTAAATTAAATCTATGCATGGTAGTACACACTTAGCATTCCAGCACTTGAGAGATGGAGGCAGGAGAATCAGGACCCACAGCCAGCCTCAGCTTACACAGTGAGTCTGGGGCTAGCCTAGGTTTCATGAGACCCTGTTTTAAAACAAAAGCCGCATGTAAGTAATTGTAATTACACAGCTAATAGCAACCTAGAAAAAAAAATCTTAGTACTTTAAGGCTCTGTCCTTGGCTATTTACTGAAAACATCCAATTTATATCTGATACTGAGTTCACATCCCATCAGATGGTTCACCTGTAACTTCCAGTTCTAGAAGGATTGTAGTTATGGCCTCTCTCTCTCTCTCTCTCTCTCTCTCTCTCTCTCTCACACACACACACACACACACACACACATACACACACACTGTAGCAAAGGCTGGCCTTGAACTAATTTTCCTGCCTCAGCTTCCCAAGGGATTACAATTATGCACTGTCATACCTGGTTTCCAGTATTTTAAAGTGAGAAACACAAAACCACTCAGTTTATTAGCAGTCTTTTCTATACTAGGCACTTGAGACAGACAACAAATATTTTAAATATCCCTATATGCATGTTTGAAAAAGGTAAAATCATCTTTGGAAAGATATTTTTGGCAAAGTAGAAACATAGAGTTGAAAGGGTTAGACTAACTTTGTAACCTGTATGTCTTCTAAAGCCTATAGTTTTGAGTTTTAGGTTCAGGTTAAGCTAAAGCCTCTTAGTACCCTATCTATGAGGACAGATAGAAAAAAAGGCAAGCAAGCAATGACCTTCACTCAGCAAAAAGAAAAACTCCTGTCTTTGAGGTAGCATTTCTTAGCAACAAACCCAGACTTCTTCTGAGTAGCTTTTGACCTGCAGCCAAAAGTCCGCAGCCCCTAATCTTCAAGGATGAGCTAACCACCCCCACCTTAAATTGCAGCTGCATCCACACTTGACAGGACTGGCCAAGCTTGAGCACCTAAGACTAACCAATTATCTTACTTTATAGCTTCCTCATCCAATCCTAAATTGCCAAGACTGCAACTTCAAATCTCCCACAATTTTTCTTTTAAAAACCTAAAGGCCTTTGTCTCCTGGTGCCACTCTTTGCTGACCGGCAGGGGTGACCCCATTGCGCAATGGTTAATAAACCTCTTGCTTTTGCAAGGAGTCGTGGTCTGGGGGAGTTTCTGGGAAGGGCATGATCTTGAACTCGAGCTGTGAGACCCCAGTGTAAGTAAGTGTAAGGTCAAACACAGGTCAAAGTGTAAGTAACCCCCAAAAACCTTCCGGCTAGCAGGTCACGAAGCCGGCACTCCAGTCCAAGGAGACTGATCCCAAAATGCCAGGTCTCACCCATATGCCATGCAGTCTACAGATTTTCTTTTTTAAAATTTTGGTTTTTCAAGACAAAGTTTCTCTGTGTAGCCCTGGCTGTCCTGGAATTCATTCAGTAGACCAGGCTGGCCTCAAACTCAGAGATCCGCCTCCTTTTGCCTCCTGAGTGCTGGGATTGAAAGCTGTGCATACCACTACTGCCCGGCTATATTCTTTGTCCATTTTATATATTTGTACAATAGATAGTGGTCATAAAGCATGTTAAACAAGTGACTTTATAGTATGTAGTGAGAATCTTGTAATTTTGGTTTCTTTAAAAAACACAGAAATGGGCTGGAGAGATAATTCAGAGGTTAAGAGCACTGGCTGCTCTTCCAGAGGTCCTGAGTTCAAATCCCAGAAACCACATGGTATCTCAAAACCATCTATAATGAAATCTGGTGCACACTTCTGACATGCAGACATACATGTAATCAGAACACTGTATACATAACAAATAAATAAATCTTTTTAAAAAAACACAGAAATATTATGGAAACGTGTTCATTTTGCCAGCTGTAGACAGTTTCTGTGAGTGTGCGACCTTTGGAATTCTGGAAACTTTTCAGAAGATATATAAATGCTAGAGCCCCAATGGGTGGGTTGCTGGCTGGTGGGTGGCTGCTGTTGTTTGTTAAGCAGTCGTGCACAAAGAAATGAGAGTTAGATATTCTAAAGATCAAACTTGCCCCAAGAAACTCAATGTCCCTAATCAGCAGGAAGTATTCTAAGGATAAAGTCAACCCCTTTCTCTTCTATCCTTTCTCTCTGATCCAGTGTTAGGGGGTTGAAAATGGAAGAAAGGATATGGAAAATGTTAGAATTAAAAGGAACCCACAAAGTAGCAAAAATGCATGGTTACAAGAGTATGCTAATTGAAAGAAAATAACTATGGGCTGGTGAGATGGTTCACTGGTTAAGAGTCCTCCTGGCTTTTTTAGAGGACCCAGGCTCAGTTCCCAGAATCCACATACATGTACACAACTGCCCGTAATTCCAGTCCAAAGAATCTGACTCCCTCTCTTCTGACCCCTGAGGGCACCAGGCACGCATGTGGTACACACATATATGAAGGTTAAACAACCATACACATAAAAATTAAATAAATAAATCTAAAAGGTTTTTTTAAAGGAAATAAATAACTTTAAAATATTAAGAGTTTCAGCCAGGCAATAGTGGCGCACACTGTTAATCATAGCGCTCAGGGAGGCAGAGGCAGGTGGATCTTTGTGAGTTTGAAGACAGCCTGGTCTGCAAAGTGAGTCCAGGACAGCTAAAAACCCTGTCTTGAAAACTTAAAAAAAAAAAAAAGGTTTTCTTAAACTCTGTCAAAATCTCAACTGATAGAAACCATTAACCAGAAGTTTTACTTTAAAAGCATAAAACTAAAAAGGAAAGAACCTGAGGATATATTGATTAATTAAAAAGCTATAAAGCTATAGAGGTCAGAATGAATTGAACATACTGCCATTTCTATTAAGAAACTAACAAACTTATATTTTCATATACAAATTACATAAAGGCTATAAAAATCCTAATCTGCAGGAAGAGGAAGTAGATGGCTGTGTACAGGTCTAAAAAGAAAGCTTTACTTTTCACGATACCTGATACTCCTGAATTTTGCACTATGTCTTATATTAATATTCAGAAATAAATAAAACATTCTCATTCATACTCATCTTCGTGAAGACTTCCAAGCAACCCAGTGACTTCAGAAATAAATATGCCTAATAACTTTTTCCGCACTCAGTTAGGTTCAAATTATTTTTGCTGCCAACTATTTCTAATGAAAATAGTAACAAATCATCTAAGCTGAACTGAGAACTCTGCAAATAGCTCTTTCTCCAAATCACTCATGGAGAACTGTCTAGGTCCCAAACAGCCCCCACACATTCAAAAAACAGGGCTGTATCCCACCCCTGGAACCATTGATCAGAGCACAGAGGCAGAAATCACTCACCCTGTCATAGGTGTCCCCCTCCAGTTCTCCCCACTTCCTGCCATCCCATGAGGTGACTCGAACTTGATTCCCTTTCCTGATATCTTGAGGCACATAACTGTGAAGGACCTTCTGTAGTCTGCCTGTTCGGGAAGTGGAGAGATCGTTGGCAGCTAGATTGCCTGTGGAAATAAAGAGACTTCTGAGGCTGTGACTCGACAGTATATCACACCAACAAAAGGTGTTGATAGAAATGAAACCAATTCTCAGGTAGAACTAATAAACACAGACCCCAGAGACAGGGATATTTATTACATATGTGGTTCCAAATCAGTCACTCTGGAGCGGAGGCCACAGGACAAATATCTACCGAAAGGAAAAGTAACTTGACAAAGCAGATCAAGAAAGAGTATTTCTAAAGAAATATGGTCTCTCCCACTAACGGTCCCTTTATTCTGTGACAGGGTCCCTTTATTCTGTAGCCTAGACTGGCCGTGAATCTGTGATCATCCTGCCTCAATGCTAGGTTTACAGGCATACACTAGCCATGCTGATTTATAGCTGTTTGCTTTTGACAGAGGATAATGTTATTGTGCCTATACTGTCCTCAAACTTCTCAAGCAATTCAGTTTCAGCCACCTGAGAAGCTGGAAACACACGTGTGTGTCACTGTGCCTAGCTACCCAATCTCTTTGAAACATCTGCGTCTAAGTTAGGTTTCTGTTGGTGGGATAAATACCATGCAAAGGCAACTTGAGGAGAAAGGGTTTATTTCAGCTTACAGTTTCTGGTCCCTCATGGAGGGAAGTCAGAGCAGGAAGTCAAGGCCGAAAGCTGGAGGCAGAAACTGAAGCAGAGACCATGTAGGCTCTGCTTACCTGCCTGCTCCGTTTGTTTGCTTCAATACCCCTGGACCACCTTGCCCAGGGTGAGGCTGGGCCCTCCCTTATCAACAGTTACTTTAGAACTGCTGAGACACCTCTCCAACCTACAAGCAATTTGGATGGAGACCTTTTCTCAACTGAGGTTCCTTTTCCCAGATAACTCTAGCTTGTTGAAAAACAAACCAAACAGGACAATATGTCTCTCTTGGTCTTCGGTAGATACTATAGGTTATTACCCAGAATTTACTGTTATCTTACTCCTTAATAACAGAACCCCAACTTTATCAACAGAGGACAATGTACACCGAGAGAACACCTCTCCTAGCTTTCTTTTACAACTAAGTATGACTAAGTCACTAGGTTTGGCTAGTGAATTATAGACACAAATATCACGTGGAGTCTCTGGGAAAGCATGTCTAAAAGACTAACAATCATTTCCTTCCACCTCAAATCATAATGGGCTGGCTGAAGTTCTAGCAGCTATCTTATACCATGATATTGATTCTAAGAATGATGCCCAAACTAAAGCAAGGTGCAAAAATAAAAACAGCTTAAGTTCTTGATGACTGTGGAGCCTCCGTACCCATCCCTTGACTTCCTGGATATTGGAGGCTTTTCAGATAAGCATCTCATGTATGAGGGACACATTTCTCCTTTAAGTTACTTAGTTTTCTTGTCTATAAAACCAAACCTAATACTTACCATCTTGCACTCTCTCTTTTATATTTAAGTGTATGTACATTTGTGCAAGTGTATGCCTGCGGAAGCCAGAAGAGGGTATCAGATCCCCAGAGCTGAAGCTACAGGCCATTGTGAACTGCCTGATGTGGGTTCGGGGAATCAAGAGTTCATATCTGCTGAACCACCTCTCTAACCCACACCCTCTCTCTGACAGACATGAATTTAAGAAATACCAGGTTGATGTTAGTTCTACAATATGTAAAATGTTCCTGAAAGATTGCTGTTCAGGCATGGTGGCACATGCCTGTAATGCCATCACCTGGAAGGCTGAGGGAGTACAATCAAGAGCCTGAAGACAGGACTAAAAAATTGGGATCCCATCATTAGATTAAAAAAAAAAAAAAAAAAAAATCAAGTGGGCTGGTGAGATGGCTCAGTGGTTAAAAACATTGGGTGCTCTTCCAGAGGTCCTAAATTCAATTCCCAGCAACTGCATGGTGTCTCACAACCACCTATAAAGGGATCTGATGCCCTCTTCTGGCATGTAGCTGTATTTGCAGACAGAGCACTCCTACATTTAAAAAAAATACATACATACATAACTATGTGTGCCAAGCAGTGATGGTGCATGCCTTTAATGCCTTGGGAGGCAGAGGCCAGCCTGATCTACAGAGCAAGTTCTCTCCTCTCCTCTGATGGATTCTCACAGCTTATCACAGTACCCACGAGTGGCTCTCTTGCTCTTAACTCACTTGTTAAACTTGTGCCAACATCTTTTTTCTTTTCTTTTTGAACTTCCAGAGCCCGGCTAAGCTCAGATATGAAAATCACATTCCCTTGTGGTAACTTCTACTTTAAGGCTTTAAGCAAATAACTCATGGGCCTACCAAGAGGCTAGAGGCTGACTCAAATTACAAGGCAGCTTTGGAGTAACAAGAACAGAAGGTTCACCCCCAAAAGAAAGGCCCAGGCACATGGCTGGAGAAGCCCGGCTAAGCTCACATATGAAAATCACATTCCCTTGTGGTAACTTCTACTTTAAGGCAAGGCTCATTCCTAAAGTGAGCACTTAGGAATGCCAGGGTTACCTATGATTCCGAGACACATGAAGAAGCCTCAGCCTGTTCCCAAGAAATTCATATATATATATATATATATATATATATATATATATATATATATATATTCTTTGAGACAGGGTTTCTCTGTGTAGCCCTGGATGTCCCGGAATTCACTCTGTGGACCAGGCTGGCCTTGAACTCAGAGACCTGCCTACCTCTGCCTCCTGAGTGCTGGGACTAAAGGCGTGTGCCACCACTCAGCACAGGATTCACAATCTTGAGGAAGAAAACACACATCCACTAAAGCTCTGGGGAAAGGTTAATAGCGTCAGGGTGCTGACAGGTGATGCTCAGGACTTAAGAGCACAGGAAGAGGAGTCATCCTGAGCAAGCCAGCAGCAGCGACGGAGAATACTTTCTGGAGGTAGCATGCTTGTGCTAAGGCTTGAAAGCTAAAAGGATTTAGATAACATGTCTGGGGGACTCAAAAGAGAGAATGTAACACGAGCAAAGATAGCAGGTGTGCTGGAAGCATAAAAAACTCAAGAGAGGCATATAAAGCTGAAAATAGGGGTTGTCAGTACAAAGAAATGAGACTTTACCTTAGAGACAAATTAGCAAATGCAAAAGGGTAAGAGGATCATGTGATGAATTTATCAGAGATTTAATCTGCCTGCAGAAGCGTTCATCAGTCATTTTTCTTGACCAACTGACAATAAACTTAGTAGATATTATTATCCTTCTGCCCCTGGGACCAAACTTACCAAGTTCAGTGTGCCCTGACTAGGTGAAGTGGGGACCCCCACCCGCCCAAGATACCATGCCATTGACTTACGGCAACAGCCTGTCTGAAGCAATGCCAGTGTTTTCCCCCCAGGAGCTGCACACAGGTCAAGCACAGTGTCTCCATGCTGCAGACCGAGAGCCAGGACAGGGAGCAAAGAGGCAGCATCCATCAGGTAGTAGTCCATGACACCCAGGCTGCCAAGTCTGGAAGAGAGAAGACCATCACACCTACCAGGAGCCCTTTACGGCCAGTGAGCTCCACTGAGTAAAATGATTTCTCAGACACTCCCTCATTTGCCTATACAGTAACCACAGTGCTCATTCCTTCATCCATCTATATAATATCCACAGTGATCTAAAAACAACTAAGATCAAGGGCTCATGTATCCCAGGCTCAGCTCAAGCTTGGTAGGAGGATGAGAATGACACTGAACTTCAAATCCTCCACCAATAAACTGTTTGTGCCACCACACCTGGCTTATGCAATGTGGATGAAACCCAGGGTTCTGTGCTTCCTTAGTAAGCATTCTACCAATTAAGCTACATCCCCCATCCCTCAGCGGTCCTCTTCCAAGTAAATCAGTTTACTCCATATTAGCCCCACTAGCCACCTTAGCGATTCCTTCACTGAGTCACACAAACACCTCAGGCCTTTCAATTGTGGTGCCTTCTGTTGTAACACTCTTCATTTAACTATCCCTAATGTGCATCCGTACTTCTAGAAGGCATTGCCTCAAGCTGGCCTCTACAAAGCCATTCCCGGAGTAGTCTAAACAATAGCCTTTTCTTTCTATCACTTTGTGCCTCCAGATGCGCTATCTTACCTCTTTATTTCTGGTTTTTCAAGACAAGGTTTCTCTATGTAGCCTCAGCTGTCTTGAAACTCACTTTGTAGACCAGGCTGGCCTCAAACTCACAGAGATCCTCCAGCCACTGCCTCCCAAGGGCTAGAATTAAAGGTATGTACCACCATACCCGGCTCAATAATTTTTTTTAAAGCAATTGTTCCTCTCTTTGTGTGTTTGTGTGTGTGTATGTTTCCTTTATTTTCCCATATTAGAATGTAGCTCTGAAAGCGCAAAGATTCTGCCTACTTTGTTCCCCATACTATTCCTAAAACCTTAAAGAGTACCTAGTACACAGCAGAAACTCAAGTTTATTGGGTTACACATTAATATACAGAGTACTTCATTGATTCAAAAAGAAGGGTCATCAATTGTTCGCATGTTCACATTGGAACTACCTGAATTGGGCCTGATGAAGAAATCAGACGCTTTCATTAGGCAAAAATAAATAAATAAATAAAGAACATTCTAGGCAGAAGAGAAAAGAATGAGTAAGGTACAAAAGCATAAAACTCAAAGCTTCTTTAAGAATTAATGAGAAGGGCTGGAGAGATGTCTCAGCTGCTCTTTCAGAGAATCCAGCTCAACTCCTACCAAACACATGGTGGCTCACAACCTTCTCCAGAGCTCAGAGGTTAAGAGCACTGGTTGTTCTTTCAATGTCCTGAGTTCAATTCCCAGCAACCACTTGGTGGCTCACAACCATCTATAGTGAGATCTGGTATCCTCTTCTGAAATGCAGACACACATACACTATAAAAATAATAAATCTTAAAAAAAATACATATTAACAAGAGGACCAAGAAATGTGAGAAAGGCACAGAACTGCAAACATACAAGCCCACACAGCTCATAAAAGCCTCATGGTGTCTCTTCCCTCTCTCCTCCTTAGGCTGTCTGGTTCACTGTTTTGGGAATCTGCTAAAAGCAAGAGTCCTTAAAAAAAAAAAAATATATATATATATATATATATATATACACAAAACGTCACCGATATTACCAGGCTACTCCTAAATTCATGAAGCTGAGCTGCTTTATGAACTGCTCCCTCAGCTCCTGAGAGCCAGGCCCCAGTTATTCTTTGCACCTCAAATACAAAAGAGGGCAGATACTGTTTCTACCAGGGTGCTGGCAAAGGAGATAGTGCATGCTTGGCACGAAGACAGCACCTTGTCTCTCTATAAACACACCAGAAACACCAACAATCCTGATCCGTATTACAGAGGGCAGGAGCTGGGCTCTTCATGCCCACCTATAGCAGGCACTCAGGATGACCCTCAAGGTTCCAGGTCCTACCTGGCAGGAGGGAAGCGGCTGACATCCCCTCTGGAAAAGGTGAAGCATCGAAGGTTTGGGCTGCAATCCAGGGACCGAGTTGGAGAGAGGCGGCTCTCAGGCTCCAGCTCCTGGTGAGAGATGGCTTCATTCACAAAGTCTTTGGCATTCAGCTCCTTCAGCTTAGCACTCACACTATCCCAAGCAGCAAAATTATTGACCAGTGCACCGTACTTCTGCTCTGAGAGAAGACCGACGCGGATTGATGGCCAAAGATCCCCAAATTGTACACTGTAAGTCATGTCAAAATTTTGCAGAGCAAGACGGCTGGCGGGGAAGTGTGGTTCTGTGGTAGCCTAAAGGAGAAAGAGCAAGCATATTAATCTTCGCAGTCTAGACTCTCTCTCTCATCGTCTGACTTAGAAGCACCACGACCCAGGCAAACTGAGGAGGAAGGGCTTTGTTTCAGCCTACACTTGCAGGTGACTTCCACCACTGAGAGAAGCCGAGGCAGGAATTCAAACAGGGCAGGAACCGTAGGAGCTGACACAGAACCCGTGGATGGGTGCTGCTTACTGTCTTGCAAGGCCTGCTTTTCTATAGAACCCAGGACCAACAGCCCAGATATGACACCACGTACAATGGGCTGGGTCCTCCTCCCATCAATCACTAATTAAGAAAATGCCTTACAGCTGGATCTTATGTGTTGCAGGATATTTGATCTCACTGTGAACCTTGTGAACTGTAAAACCCTGTTTATTGTTTGGTTTGGTTGAGTCCTAATATACACCTCTAATCCAAGAGCTCTCTGTATACTGGATCTAATAAAGCTAACCTAGGTCAAGAGGCAGAGTTAGGAACTAGCTGACAAAAATTAAAGAGTAGGAGGGATTTTGAGTTGAGGGGTATTTAAGACAGCGTGGAGAAGTAGAAAAGGGGCTATTAGCTCAAGCTCTGGCTTTAGTTTAGGCTTCAGCTTTTCAGCTCTTCAGCTCTTCAGCTCCACAGCTCCTCAGCTACCTGGCTTTTTGGGCTTTGAACTAGCAAGGCTTCGGCCTTGGGTTTTTTGGCCTTTTCCTTCTGGGCTGTCAGTTGAGCTAGTGAGCCTGGGTTTTTTCCATTCAGACCTGAGCTGAGAAGGAAGGTCAGCTGGATGCTTTCCCTGCCTCTCTGAGCTAGCTGGTTTTCACCCCAGCACCTGGCTCCTGAATCCATGTTGGTAAAATAGAACAGTTGGGATTTTCTTCACTGTTCCTAAAAACACTTAAAGAGGCATTTTCTCACTCGAGGTTCCCTCCTTTCACATAACTCCAGCTTGTGTGAGGTTGACATATCTACAAACACCTCAGAGCCCCAAGGCAAATTCAAATCCACTCAGTATTCTCTCCTATCTTTGCATCCTGCCTCTGCCTGCCAAAAGAGGAATTGGGAGAGAGTGAAGTGCTAGCCTTCATATCACTGGATTGGGAAGGGACACAGTCAATGCTAGGCACAGTGGTGAACACTTGTAATCCCAGCACTCAGCAGGCCATGGCAGGAGGATCTAGAGTTCAAAGCTAGCCTTGGGTTCAAAAGCAAATCTGAGATGGGTTACACATCAAGAGGCTCCTAGTGAGATGGCTAAATGGGGAAAGGTTTTGACATTAAGCCTGACTACTTGAGTTTGGTCTTTACAGGGTAGAAGAAAAGAACTGATTCCTCTAAGTTGTCTGACCTCGCCAGGTGTACCACAGCACATATGTGCACACATCCATACCCTTAACAATAAATAAATGTCATTTCAAAAAAGTCTCCTATAATCCTACCACCTAGGCGTTAGAAGGGTTATTCTTGGCTACCTAGAGCTCAAGACAAACTGGGATACATGAGACTCTATCTCAAACACACAGCCAAACACAAAACACAAAGAAGAGTCTCAAAAAATAAAAGAGGGAGGTTGAAGGCTTGTGCTGAAATGTACCACACTGTGTGCTCAATGTGTGACAGCGCTTGCCTAGCACAAGCAATGCCCTAGGTTTGATAGCACTGCAAAGGAGGAAGGGGACTTAAAGGATTCCAGGGAGAACTCCTGAAAAAACTGTGAAGGCCCCGGGGAAACTTGAGGCTTTTTTCAAGACAGGGTTTTGTGTTGCCCTGGCTGTGCTGGAACTCGCTTTACAGACCGGGCTGGCCTCTTACTCAGAGATCTGCCCACCTCTGCCTCCCTAGAGCTGGGATTAAAGGTGTGTGCCACCACACCCAGCACTTTTCTTCTTTATAATCCTGCTTTCAAAAACTTGTTAAGAGTGCTCTACAGCAGCAGTGTTCAATAGGATACAAAATATCAACACCACCACCTTTCACATCTGATGGAGCACCTAGAGTCACTTACCTAAGATGATGCTGTGACTAGGCAGCACAATGCACAGAACCACAGAGATTGGAGAAGATTTCCCAGACCCCAGGAAGGCAGAAAGAGACAGTTCACAAAATCACAAGGTAGGAATTAAAGCAGACATAGAATGACTGCTATGGGCTGGCAGTGAAGGACTGAGATTATTAAAGAACTGAAGACTTCAGAAGAGAATTCCACAAGTCAGTCCTGGCTGCAACAACTGAGATACTATTGTGGCAGTCTTGTTACTGCAACTTCTGCCCTAGTCTAGGTTTTTGTTTCGGTCAGAACTTGTGTTCTGGTCATTTTTTCTTCTTCTTGTGGGGACTCTTGCTCCGACCACGACGTTTCTTATGCTGGGGACTCTTGCTCCGGCTCTGATTTTTACCACCTTTAGGACTCTTGCTTTTCTTCCGACCTCTGTTATGGTGACCTTTCTCACTTTGGGCCTCCTTGATGCTCAGGGAGGTATTCTCACTGGGTTCCTGAGTAAGGCTTTGGGGAGGACTACCACTCCGGCTCCGGCTTCGGCTTTTGCTCCGGCTTCGGCTTTTGCTCAGGCTCCTGCTTTGGCTCCTCTGACTCAGGCTCTCACTCCGGCTTCCACTCCGGCTTCTGCTCCGGCTTCCACTCCAGCTCCCGCTCCGGCTCAGGCTCCGGCTCTGACTCCTACTCTGGTGGGTACCCCTCCTTTGGGGACTCTTGCTTTTACTACGAAGCAAACTCTTATTCTGACTTTTTTGTTGGGTACACTGGCTCTCGCTCCTACCACATTCACTAATAATAATGGCTGAACTACAGCTTGCAGTAATGCTACAGGTGGATGTCTTGGATGAGGGCAAAGAAAAGCCATAGGGAATCTGGGGAGGATCTTTGTGTGGGACTGGAGAAGCCACAGCATAGGTATGAAAACCACAGGGAATAGTATTGGGGCAAAGCCGAGCTCGATGGACAACAGGTAAACATCGGGGGTCAAAGGGTGTTCTCAGAGGGATAAAAGAATAGATGTGGGTGGAACAAGGAGGCACCGCAGGCTTGCTGGGGGTTGGTGGTGGACCCCTGGGGACAGAGTAAGTGCCACAGGGAGGCACCACGGGCGGGTTAGGACACTGAGGGAGAGCTGTAGAATGATTTAGGAGACTGGAGAGTGGGAATGAGTGGGTGGTGGGGGGAATCACGGAGTACATATGAGTATTGCAGGGGGACACTGGAGGAGGCCTGCGAGGACTACTCTTGGAATATCTAGTAGGCAAGAGAGAATTGCAAGGCAGGCAGTGGGGATAGCAAGCAGGGGCAACAGCTTTGAGGATCTGCAGGCCCACAGCAGTCTCTTGGGGAAGTTCTTTTGGGCAGGGACTTGAAGCAGTTGTGATGGATGGCTCCACAAGAGGACTAGAGAGGCCAAAGGACTGGGAGATAGGCTGGGGAGAGGTGTTGCTCTTCTGGGACTTAGGATGGTCAAAAGAAGGGTGGTGCAGTGTGTTGCCCAGGGAGCGACACCTGTAGGGAACACGTCGTGATTCTGTAGACTTGGGGGACTTCACTTGAGGCGGGACTGGGGTAGGGACAGGGAGTTCACTATAACCTCTGGGTGATGGAGGTGGAGCTAAAAACTGGCTGCCCAGGGGAGGTGGGAAATAGAGGGAAGGGTAAGGACACTGAGCAAGAGGTGGTTCTGTGGGGCAGGGAGGACCAGAAATTACAGCACCTGGGGTTACCAAGAGGTAAGAGCTGCTCTCAGCCTCCCACGACAGAAAGGACTTGTGGAGACTCTGAGGCTGGGGTGAGCCAAGAGAACCAGTACTCTCAGGCGGGAGGTTGATAACACAGTATGGACCCCTAGAAGCAGCTATCTGGGACTCTGGGCAAAGATGAGAATAATGAAAAGTACCCTGTTGGGGTGCGATCGGGGAGCTAGATATGCCTGCCTGAGAAGAAAGTGGAGGGCCACAACCATTTTCCCCACCAGATACACCAAGCTGTGGTTTAGGTTCACAAGAGTCTGGAGGCTTAGGGTGGCCATGATAAGGGTTGCCAGTGGGTTGGGAAAGAAGAGGATCATTGTAACTTCTCTCCGAGGACCAGTGGGAGATCATGGGACCAGTTCTGTGAGAAATGGATGTAGAGGTTGGCAATCTAGATTCCACAGGTCGGTAAGCAAGGGGAGGTGAAATTTTAAGGCCAGTTATCAGGGGCTTGTGGGTAAGAAGAGGTGAAATTACGGCGTAATTTCCCTGGGACACTGGCATAAGGGAACTGGCAAGCACAGGACAAGTCTTCAAGGATATATGAGTGAGTTGAGGGGAGGTTACTGGGCTGTTTCTGAGGGGCTGATGAATGAGAGGTGGGGAAGTCGCTGGACTACTATAACAAGGGTACGGAGTTGGAGTACATGGCCGCTGAGGTCTTGGGGAACCGATCAAGTTGCAATAATGGTCCCGCTGATGAGAAGCGGGTGACCCCTGAAGGCTGAATTGGTCAAAACTAGGGGATGAACTAACCGGCTCTTGGCTGTACAGCCTTCCTAGGAGTGGAGAAAAGGGTTCAAAAGAACATCTCCCCTGTGGAGATGGGGGGGAGGACAGTATGGGCTGAGGTGGTGGGGAGGGAATCCGTCGGGGTAAGCAAGGAGAGGGAACGGTGAGGCAAGAGAAAGGCTCTCTAGAGTAAGGAGGGTTGGTAAACCTTTTGCCTGCATTTGGAGAAAGGCCAGCAGTACAGGAAAGGTGGTCGTTCAACTCTTTCCTGGGTGCCAAAGGAACCTCGTGAGCGAAAACAGGGCTAGATTCTTTCCGGCAGGACGACGGAGACCCAGAAGGGAAGGGGCAGTTGTTAGGACCTTTTGCTAGGGGTGAGGGTGCAGGGGCTGAAAGCTCAAGGAAGAAAGGAGGGGAAGAGGTCATGGGACGGGAGGGGTGAGGGAAAGAGGGAGGAAAGAAAAGGAGAAAGAAGGGGTGGGAAGGGCAAGATAAAGTTAAGCAAGAACAAGGAACACGAGGCGACATGTGACAACACCGAATGAAGGGGCAAGTGATGACTTAACAAAGAGGGGCGGAGTCAGGAGGCTGCTTACGTAACAGGAAGAGGAGGCAGAGGTGTGACAACAGCTGGGAGAAGGTTACGGTCCCTGGAGTGGGCGTCCCGAATGCAGCTGTGAATGGCAGAGAACACAAGGGCTGGACTGTCTTCCTCGAATGCCTCCCGCCAGACCTTACCCATTTCTTCTTATACCGGTGTCGCCGCGGGACCGGCGTGAAGTCCGCGAGTTTCAGCAGCTTCCGAACACCCCTTAATACGGGCGCAGCCATGTCAGCGGGCAACGCCAAGTAGCTCCGGCCGGAACCGCAGCTGCGCTCGCGCGAGTTCCGGGTCGGACTGCGCGCTGCTTAGAGTAACAGCGGCAAAAGGGGAGGAGCTAGGCTTGCGGCTCTCCACGGTCCCCGGGCTCATAGCCCCGGCCCCTCCGGGAGAACCCGAAGCGGGGGCTGTGAATCGTAAGAGGCTCCCAGGACAGGCAGGAAAAGCCTTCTGGGCTCAGACTGCGTGGAGTAGAGCAGTCTAATTTCGCCAAGGTAGAGCGAAATTAGACTGTGTACAGAAGCAGAATTTCAGGGGAGCCGTGGAAGCTTCCGTTTCAAGATCTGTTCTTTATATGTTCCTTTTCAAAACTATGTACTTATTTTTTTTTTTTTTTTTTCCCCTTGAGGCTCCAAGTTTGACTCCACCATTGAGGATTCCAGGGAGAGAAAGGAGTGGTCAGTATTTTTAACAATGATCGTCTGGCCGGGCATAGTGGCATATGAAAATAAAGTACTGAACATAAAGTAAGTCTTACTTAAATGAGCATTTGAGTTTCAGAAATTTTAGCTAACCAAATGAGGCCACGATGGGTCATGTCTTTAATCCAGCACTCCTGAGTCTGAGGCGCGTGTATGTCTTTGAGTTAGTTGGTCTATGGTCTACGGAGAACCGTAGAGTTCAAGGCCATCCAGGACTATCTAGTGAGATCCCTCATACCGATAACACAACAACAACAACAACAACAAAAAACAACCTATAATGTTTAGAATGGTCTTTGCTATTATAGGAACATCAATTCCAACTTTACTGGGCAGAAGTCATTAACACCACCATAGATAAATATAATGATATTGCCGTCAGCTTGGTACAAGCTCATTTCATTCCTACGGATGCATAAACTATGGGCTGGAGAGATGATCTAGTGCCTAAGAGCACTTACTGCTCTAGCAAAGGTTCAGTTCTCAGGCTCACCACCATCTGTAATTTCAGTTCTAGGAAATGTGATGCCTCCTGACATCTGCAGGGACCAGATACTCACATGGCATACATACATACTACATACATGCAAGCGAAACACTCAGACACGTAAATCTTTTGAAAGAAAAAAACAAAAAGATGCAAAATAGCCTAGTCAATATAAAATAAACCAGAGGTGTATGCTGCCTCTACAATGAACAAATTGTTAATCTTCATTTGCTTATTTTTCCAAACATGTCTTACCTCAATAGACTGTTAGGAGTTATCATGTACTTCTTTTATAACAGGGTTTATTTATGTAACTCAGGCTGGCCTAAAACTTAATATGTAGTCAGGCTGGCTTCAACTCCCAACAATCCTCCTGCCTCAGCCTCCTGAATGCTCAAAGAGGGGGGATGTGGGCCTTGTAAAATGGCCCAGTGTGTAAAAAGCACCTCCAGGAACCACATGATAGAAGGAGAGAAGTAACTCCCCAAATTGTCCTCTGACCTCCACAGGAAAGCCATGGCATGCCCTCCCCCCACACCACCAATTTTTTTAAATTTAAAAACTAAATGGGAAAGCAAAAGAGGAAGGTTAAACTGAGTCAGCCATTCTCATGGTTTCAGCATCTTTTGGTTATAGTTTTACAGTGCTAGTGATATAATCTAAGACCTTGTAGTTTATTGCTGAGCTAGAGTCATTCCCTTCAGACTCTGAATTATTGAAAGCCCTCCAAAGTCTTGTCTACTAACGTGTGATGGGCTAGAGGCTGGGAAAATTTTGTCATTGTATTATTTGTTTATTCATTCACTCACTTGTTCATTTGGTTTTTTTACAAGACAGGGTTTCTCTGTGTAGCCCTGGCCATCCTGGAACTTACTTTGTAGACCAGGCTGACCTCAAATTCAGAGATTTGCCTGCCCTCTACCTCCTGAGGGCTGGGACTAAAGATGTGTGCCACCACTGCCCAGCTTTTGTTTTACTTTTCGTTTTGTTTTATGGAGACCCAGTAAAATGGCAGATGGCTCAGTAAACTGCTTACTATGCAATCATGACACCTGGGTTCAGATCCCAGCACCTCATCAAAAGTAGGTGGTTTGCAGTCCCAGGGCTGTGGAAGAGAGTCCTTGGGACTTGCTGGCAAGCCAGTCTAGCTAATATGCATGCTTTAGATTCAGTGGAAGATTTTATCTGGAAAAAAATAAGATAGAGAATAATTAAGACCTCTACTATGAACCTTTAGCCTCATGCACACCTATACACATACAGGAACACACACACAAAATAATTAATCCATAATACATTAAGTATCTATGAAAAAAATCAAAATTTCCAAAAGAAATATAAAGAGTAGTTTTTTGGTTTTGTTTTTGTTTTTTTACAAGTCTTTTGCTAATAGGGATGGAGAAGTACCTCATCAGTTAGGAGAGCTTACTGTTCCTGCAGAGGATCTGATTTCAGCCCCCAACACCCACATAGGGTGGTTGTAAGCTTTACTCTAGTTCCAGGTGAAGAGACATGCTCACCTGGCCTTGCCAGGCACTACACTCACATGCCCTAATACACACTTAAAAATAAAATAAACAAATTTATGCTAAATTACTTTGTGAGGACAGAGTATCACATTTGCTTCTTCATTCTGTTAAGGATTATCAATAACTAAATATTCTTTGATATTACACCCAAACTTGACAAATAACAGTTCCCTGAAAGATTAGCGACAGAGTTAGAAGATTCTGAATTCTAGAATACCCAGTTACATTCAAACTCACTGATTTAACCATCTCTTGTCTATACTGTGGGCTTCTCTGTCCTGGAGCTCACTTTATAGATCCTCCTGCCTCTGCCTTCCAAGCACTGGGATTAAAGCCATGTGACAACACCTTCCTTTATTTACTATGTATACAATATCCACATGTGTGCCCTCACAGCAGAAGGATGCACCAGATCTCATTATAGATGGTTGTGAGCCACCATGTGGTTGCTGGGAATTGAACTCAGGACTTCTGGGAGAGCAGCCAGTGCCCTTAACCTCTGAGCCGTCCCTCCAGCCCCAAGCAGTCGTTCTTAATCAAGTGATTTTGTCTATCCCTCTGGACATTTGGTAAAATCTGAAGACATTATGGATTGCTACAACTTCATGTGTTTCCAGTATCTAGGATACTGCTAGGAATTATCCAACTCAAAATATCAATGATACTGAGGTTGAGAAATAATATGGGTAGGCTGTAGAGATGTCTCAGCAATTAAGAATGCAAACTGAGGGGCTCAGAACTTAAGAGCACTGTCTGTTCTCCTGAAGGTCCTGAGTTTAATTCCCAGCAACCACATGGTGGCTCAAAACCACCTATAATGAGGCCTGGTGCCCTCTTCTGGCATGTATGCATACACACAGGCATTATTCTGTATACATAATAAATCTTAGAAAAAGAAAAAAAAAAAAAAAAAAAAAAGACTGCAAACTGAGCCAGACATGGTGGCTCAGGCCTTTAATCCCAGTACCCAGGGAGTCAGAGGCAGGCCAGAGTTCAAGGCCAGCCTGGTCTATAAAGGGAGTCCAGGACAGACAAGGATACACAGAGAAACCTGTGTCAAAAAAAACAAAACAAGAATTCAGACTGCTCTTTACAGAGGACTTTCGCTCACTCCCAGAACCCACATCAAACAGATCAAAAACCTCCTGTAAACCCCCGCTCTAGAGACTCTGATCAGTCCTTTGTGTGTGGTTTATATTCACACCTCTGCAGGCACCTGGATTGTGTACAGACCAAAGTACAAACTAACTGAAAATAATTGACAAAGAAATCATGTCCGCCATGGTGGTGCACACTTTTAATTCCAGCATGGTAGAGACAAAGGCAGAAGCAGGTGATCTCTGTGAGTTTGAGGCTAGCCTGGTCGACAGTTTTTTATGTGAATGCAAGCGCACACATGCCACATGTGTAGCAGACAGAAGGAAACTCTTCAGAGTGGGTTTCACCATGCCTGTGGGATCTGGGGACTGAGCTTGGGTCGTCAGGCCTCTACCCACTGAGCCGCGTTGCAAGCCCTACCTTTTGGTTTTATAAGGCAGGGTCTCATGTAGTTCATTCAGGCTGAACTTACGATCCTCCTTCACCTAACACGTGCTGGGGTTACAGACATGAGCTGTCTGGCTTTTTGAATCAGCGTTGAGTTCTTTGAAGAACTGGTGAGAACTGCCAGGTAGAGGTTACAGCACAGCAGAGACATCTGTGGGTTTCAGATGTGCTGTGATGACCTTTTCAGCTTCTGGATTGGTGGAAGCTAGTGGTCTATGAAGACCTCCCAAAAGGTTTTACATGTAGTCCCAAGAATGTTAGGTCAGGTACAGAAGTAGGCACTAAAGGTAGACCAAGGTCATCTGTCTCTAGATGGGCAACATTACAGCTCTTCACAATCACAATCCTAATCAGTCTATTAGCCTTGTAGAATCTTTAACATGGCCATGGTTTTGGTTTGATTTCTTGGAACTTTGAGTCACACCATAAAGTTCATCAAGAGCTCACAAGACTTGGTTACAACTCAAAATGTTTCCAGTCCTGTTAAGTGTAGGAACTGTTCGTTTGCAGCTATCCAGTAGTTTTTGCCTAGCTTCAGCATTTTCATTTGCAGTTTAGAATTTCACAAGACTCAAGCATCCTCTAAGTAAAACTCTGGATAGTTCCCTCTTTCATATAACACAATTATAATAGTTTAATAATACTAAAATCTAAGTGATAATATAGGGAAGTACACTATAAAGTTTCAGCTTTGCTGAACATTTGAAATTTTATTAAGATGTTGAAAAAGGATTTTTGAGACAGTGTCTCACTCTGTAGTCCTAGCTGGCCTGGAGCTTGCTAGGTAGACCAGGCTGTCCTCAAACTCACTGCATCTGCTTTCCAAGTGTTGGGGTTAAAGGCGTGCGCCTAGCAAAGGTCTGCCATAATGTTCATCTGTGCTTTCCACAGTCTCTCTAGTTTATCAGTCTCCTAATTTAAGTACAAGGCACTAATTTTCATTTACTTTCTTTCTAGGTTATTTTTCTTTCGTTGTGTGTGGTTGTTTTGTTTTAAGATAGTTTTTTCTATGAAGCCCTGGTTGTCCTGAAAACTAGCTCTGTGGACAAGGCTGACCTCAAACTTGCCTGCTTCTGCCTCCCAAATTCTGGGATTAAGGGTATGTGCCACCGCACCCGTTTCCTTTCTCTTTAATTTTCTTTTAAGCCGGGCCTGGTGACACACATCTGTAATCCCAGCACTCAGGGAGGCAGAAGTAGGTGGATCTCTGTGAGTTTGAGGCCAGCCTGGTCTACAAAGCAAGTCCATGATAGCTAAGGTTACAGAGAAACCCTTTCTCGTAAAAACAAAATTTTCTTTTAGGTAAGTTTATGTTGCCCAACTATTAAACTTCTTGGTTCAAGCTGGGCACAGTGGCTCACACCTATAATCTACCACTCAGGGAGTCAGAGGCAGGTGGATCTCTGTGAGTTTGAGGCCAGCCTGGTCTACAAAGTGAGTCCAGAACAGCCAAGGCTACACAGAGAAACCCTGTCTTGGAAACAAAAAATAAACAAAAAATCTCCTTGGTTCAAATGATCCTCATCCCTTAGTCTCCTAAATAGCTGAGATAACCCTAGTTAAGGAAGGAAGGCAGAATTACTAGTTGGAAGGTGAGTAAGGAATATGCCACCATACCCAATTTCACTCCTTCTTTTAAAAAATGTGTGAAAAAAAATGTGTTTGCGTGTCAGCAGGCAGGGGAGGGATTGGGGAGTAGGGGACTACATGCATATGCCACAGAAATGTAAAGGGGTCAGAGGACTACTTTTGGGAGTCAGTTTTCTTCTACCATGTGGGTTCCAGGACTCAGACTCCAGTTGTCAGGAACAGAGGCAAATCCTGTAACCTCCAATGCTCTCCTGCTGGCTTCCTTTTTAAAATGTTTTGTGTGAGCACTCATCTGCTCATGCAAGCGGTGGCTAGAAAGCCATGTCAAGTGTCCTCAGGCTTCTGAGGGTACCAGGTACACATGCAGCCTGCTTTATATACATTCACACAAAACACCCAGACACATAGATCTTTAGGCTGGGCATAGAGGAATATGCCTTTAATCCCAGCTCTTGAGAGGCAGAGACAGGTGGATCTCTGTGAGTTCGAGGCCAGCCTCATCTACACAGTGAGTTTGACAGCCAAAGCTATATGAGACCCTGCTTCAAAAATACAAAAACAAAACAAAAACTAAAAAATACATCTTTAAGCCAGAAGCATGACTTTGATCCTAGCACTCAGGAGGCCCTGAAAATCAGATCTCTTGTGAATTTGAACCTAGTGCAGTCTAGTCTACAAAGCAAGTTCCATACTAGCCAGAACTAGTTTCAAAGCATACAAGTAAAATTATTTTTTAATTGATTTTATGTGCCTTGGTGTTTTGTCTATATTGATGTGCATGTGGGCGTCTCAGATCCCTTGGAACTAGTTATCATTACAGACAGTTGTGAGCTGCCATGTGGATGCTGCAAATTAAACCATGGAAAAACAGCCAGTGATTTTTTTTTAATATATTTATTGATTTCATAAACGAGTGCACCAACATACAAGAAGAGGGCATCAGATCACATCATAGATGGTTCTGAGCTGCCATGTGGTTGCTGGGAATTGAACTCAGGACCTCTGGTAGAGCAGAGAGTACTTTTAACCACTGAGCCCTCTTTCCAACCCCAGCCAGTGATCTTAACCACTGAGCAATCTCTGCAGCCCCAAATAAAATAATTTTTATAAAAAAAAAAGTTGGCACACTAAAACAAACAAAAAAGACAAAAGATACTTTTGAGATGAGAAACTAGGTCTTAAGCAACTACTTTTACCTTTATGTATGATAATTTTATATATACAAAATATATAGACACATCCCATCACTAGGGATTATTTACTTGCTAGGTAAATAGGTGACAGGAGTTGGTTACATCCTATCATTTATATGTTTAAAAAAATTTTTTTTTTCTGGGAGTCCCTTACAGCCTAGGTTGGCTTTGAACTCCTGCTCCAGGGTCCCTATTGCTGAGATAACAGGTGTGCATAACCCATATCCCATACCCATAAAAAAGTTTCAAATTTAACATTCTGAGCTGGGCATGGTGGCAAATGCATATGATCCCAGGACTCTGGGAGGCAGAGGCAGGCTGATCTGTGAGTTCAAGGCCAACTTGGTCTACAGAGCAAGTCCAGGATAGCCAAAGCTACAAAGAGAAACCATGTCTCAAAAAACCATAAAAAACTAAAAAAAAACACTCCAAAGAAGGAACTAAGGAAACAGCACAGTGGTAGAGTTTATGCGTAGCATGCATGAGACCCTGGGTTCAATTCCTAGCACAACAAAAAAGGGGCAGGGGATCCCAAAAACTGAGTTTATATCCCCTGCTTGTAATCAGATACTCAGGAGGCTGAGGCAGGAAGATTAAAAAATAGAGAGCCAGCAAGTACAATTCAGCAAAATAAAAGGGTGAAATGTAGCCCAGGAGTAAGGCATAAGAGTGTGGGTTCAATTTTACTGGGGGAAAAAAAAGCATTTAAAGATACTTAAGTAACGAAATAATAAAGTAAGGGGTGGCAGAATAAGGACAGACAGCAAGTCTGAAGATCAGTTTATTAAGATGGAATCACTGCTAATTACATAGAAGAGAAGCACTTGCCAAAATCTCAAGAACGTACTATACACATTAGAAACAAATGGTTCAAAACCACAGGAACTGTTCCTGATTCCCAGTGACAAGGCTGAGGCGAATGAATCTGCACATTTACTTCAAGCTTTTGAAGAGTTTGTGGGCCACCTAGACAAGAAGAGAAAATTACATCATTACTTGGTTTTAAGGTCCTGGCTCACAGGTCCTTCATGGCCTGGAACAGTACTGTTCCTTTCTTGACACCCTCATTCTTAAGCACCCTTATCCATACTCGGGCCATAGTAACTCTCCTCAGGTATGTGACCCTGTCCTGTCTACAACTCTGAATTTTTTCATCATCTTTTGGAAGTTGCATATTATCTGCAAGCTTCCACTTTATCACCACACAAATCTGTTTTCAGAATTAGCTTGGCAGGAATATGCTAGCACCCTACTAGAAATCGAAAACTTTCGTATTTCTCCTGGATGTATATGTAGGAATGGAATTGCTGCTGTTAACTGTGGCCATATGCTAGATCCCTGCTTAACTCTATCCTCAAGAGAAAGGACCTCCCTGTTTAGACCAGGCTGGCTCCAGTGACCCTCTACCTCAGACTCATGAGTAGCTAGGACTACAGATGTGTACCACCACAGCTGGCTCTTTGCTTGCCCTTCTGAGGAACTGCCAAACTAGATAACACACTGGCTGTGTGCCACTTTTTAGTTCTATCAGCAGTGTGAAATTTCCACTTTTTCCCACATTTCTCTAACACATAACACTATCCTTCAGATACCCCCTCGTCATCACCACCACCCCACCTCAACCCCTGCTGGTGATCAAACCCAGGCCTCACTAGGCATGTACTCTACTATCTACATACAGAATATATTCTCAGTGAACTGACTACCGAATCAACTGTCCGTGTTTGTTTTTTGTTTTTGTTTTTGAGGCAGAATCTCATTCTATAGCCTAGACTGGACTAAAACTCGATATGTAGCTCAGGCTGGCCTCAAACTTGCAATAATCCTCATGCCTCAGCACTCTAAACTGTAAGTTCTAAGATTATTAAGTATGAGCCACCACACCTGGTTTACCTAATCTGGGTTTCTGTCTGTTTTGTTTTTCAAGACAGGGTTTCCCTGTGTAGGCTTGGCTGTCCTAGAACTCCCTCTGTAGTCCAGGCTGGCCTTGAGCTGAGAGATCCACCTGCCTCTGCCTCCCTAATACTGTGACTGCAGGCATTCCCCATCACTGGTCAGCCCTAACCAATTTTAATAGAATCAATCTTATCAAATTCTGCATGTGTGTAATATGTATAAGATAGTTATATGAAAGAGTGAAACAGACTTGTTTAAACAGAAAAAACTATACAAACAACTCATGTAAGACCTATTGAACACACACACACACACACACACACACACACACACACACACAAAACAGATCATTCAGAGTATAAAATCTGGGACTGGAGTGATGATAGGTCTGTAGGTAAGAGCACTAGCTGGTCTTGCAAAGGACCTGGGCTCAATTTCCAGTATACAAATGGCAAGTCAGAACCATCCACAAATCCAGTTACAGGGGATCTGATGCCCTCTTCTGACTTTCTTGGGAGCTAGGGACATATGTGGTACATATATATACAGGCAAACACCCATACACATAAAATTAATTTGAAAATATTTAAAAAAAATTTTTTTTTTTTTAAATACAAAATCCAGGGCTGGGGTATATCTCAGTAGATAGAGCATTTCCTAGCATGCAAGGCCTGTATTTTATCTCCAGTACTAAAAGAAAACAGAATGTATAAAATCCAGCTTCCCTACTATTTAACAGTACATATTAGGATGTCTTATTTTTCCATGTCAGTCTGTTCCAATTTGTACAGTGGAGACAGTGATAACTACTTTCAACATATGTGGTAAGGATTAAGAAAACCTATGTATATAAAATGCTTCTTTCAAAAACTGACATATAGGACCTATAGTCCTATGGTGGGGCTACTTGGAGCCCACAGACTGTTGGCCACTGTTTGGCTTTGCCCTTCCTGTCTTCAGGCCGACTCACACAGTGGTCCCGTGCGTGCAAGAAGTCAAAGAGCTCCTCTGTACAGTCCTCTTCTGTCTCTGACCGGGAAGACACGCGCTTATCGCAGAGCTCTAGCCGCTCCCGGGCCTTGACGCACTTCTCCAACTGCTCACACTGCTCTCTCATGGTTGTTAGGGGATCCTGACAAAGAAACATAAAAAGAATAAATCGAAGCTTCAGGAGACACCTACCAAATATATATGCTTTGGTCAGTATAATCACCAAATCAAGGAGGAGCTTCTGAGTTACCATGCAGGCCAGCAGGCAGAGCCAAACTCTAGCCATGGCAAAATAGGGGCATCTATTTAATTCTTTGAAGCTTAAGTAGTAGGGAAGTTTCAAATTTCTGCCTTCCAAGGTTGCAAGCATGCACTGAGAGCCTCAGCCCTGAAGAACAAGGTAGTAAACAGGAAGTAGATCTACCAGAGACATCACATTAACACAGCATTTAGGATTCAATTTCCCTTGCATAAGATTCAGTCCTTGCCCCCTACTTGCAAAGTCAGAAAAATGCAAACATGGAGAACTATCTAAGAAAAATTTCCTTCTAGAGTTCTTTATTAAACCACAAACAGCAGATGAGTGCCTTTAAGATATTGTCAGTTTCCTGGTATGACCAAAGAAGCTGCACATCTAGAAAAGACAAAGCTTTCTAAGGCTCACACTCCCAAACACTCCACCCAACAGGAGTTATTAAAGGTTTACCCCATCATTTTCCCCAAGTAGTCACAGATTCCTTAAACTGCCCTAGTTTCCTGAAGCTCAAGCTTCCGACTTCTAGTAAGGTACTTCTAAACTGGAGGCCCGCTCTTACCACTAATTCTTCCTCCTCTTCTTCCTACAAAAGGAAAAGAAAATTAATGTCAGCAGCAATTTCGCAACGTGCATTTCCCTAATCACACTTATACCATAATCACGGAGAAAAGACTGTATTAATCAAATTATTTTACGATGTTTTGTCATCCTAGCTTTGTTGTTAATCCTGCCTTCCCAGAACCAGCTAATTTTTAGAGATAAAATGCAGTTTGCCCAGGAACACACCTTTCATATACCAGCTGACTGAAAACCCACTATATGCCACTATGCCTAGCCTATAAATTCTTTCAAAGGTAGTTGTCTCCATGTACCTTACCATATCGTATTAAAACAAAACCCAGGAATATTTCAAGACAGACACCACCTCACTTTCATCAGTAAGATCTAAGTATATAGGACAGTCTACAGTTTATGAAGTACTTATAGCCTTTAGGATGTGATTAGTCAGCTCTTCAGGAAGTAATCCCAATTTAGAAGCAATAAGTAATTATTAAACATTTCCTGATAATAGACTCAAGCCATCCGATACTCAAATGAAACCTATAGAATTAAAAGTACTTTGACAGTTTAAGGACGTAGCTCAATGATAGAGTGCTTGTTTCCCCAATATCGCACAAGGCACTGGGTCCAATTCCCACACTGAAAGGGAAAACAAAATATGCACACCCATGCACACACACAACACACCAACCTTACAAAACAAAAATAACCTGCCTTGGCTTAACCAGGTGTGGGGGAATTCTCCTGTAATCCAGCACTTAAAAGGCAGTGGACCAGGAGCCCAAAATGAGTCCAGACTGGACTATATAAGACCCTGTCACAAAACAATAGCAATTAAAGTATCTGGTAAACACTGCTAAAAATAGCTAAACTTTGTCTTTACATCCCAAACAAAGTTTAGAAGAAAATCATATATATATTTAAAAAATATATATTTTTTTAAACTACATATTTTCACTATTTTTTTTTAACTACAGGTATGTATGTAGGTATAGAAGTGTGAATGCAGGTGCCTGTGGAGTTCAGAGACATCAGATCCCTTGGAACCAAAGTTACAGGCAACTAGCCAGGCATGGTGGCACATGTTTTTAATCCCAATACTCAAAAGGCAGAGGCAGCAGATCTCTGTGAGTTCAAGGCTAGTCTGGTCTACAAAGTGAGTCTAAGACAGCCAAGGCTACACAGATAAACCCTATCTCAAGAAGAAGAAGAAAATTGAAGACGAATGTTACAGGCAATTGTGAGACACCTGATTTAAGTACTGGGAACTAAACTCATATGCTCCACAAGAGCAGGACTGGATCTTAATCGCTGCACCATCTCTACACCACTTTTTTCTAGACTCTTAACTTGAATTTGGAATATGAAAATGGCCAAACCTAAATTCTTCTTTAGCCAATTCAGGGTTATAATCACTGCCCTTTGACTTGCAGATCAGTAGAACAAAAGTCTATACAAGTTCACCTAAGACCTCAAAAACACCAGCCCCCCATTATCTATTTCTGATTCCAGTGTGTAACAAAATTAGTCTCCTTTCTTTCCCCAATTGTAAAAATTACCTACAGGAGCATCAGCACAGGTCCTAAATCTGGTGGACTGGTACAGTGATCTGCCTGCCACATTTGGGGGAAGAGAGAGTAAAGACACACAGGGAAATAAAAATAGGAGGCCAACTATCATGTTTCCTGAATCCCAACACGAGACATACCCTAGAAGTGGAGGACGAGAGGTTCAACTGTAATCGCAGCTCTTCACTCGTGAAGATGTTACTTAGGATATAAATTCTAGTTTTTCATTAAGCAAAGTTTCTTAAAAGCCTTTAAAGAATTTATTAGAGGGCTGGAGAGATGGCTCACTGGCTAAGAGAACTTGCTGTTCTTGCAAAAGAACCAGGTTTGATTCCCAACACTTACATGTCATTTCAGAACCATTCCTAATTCCAATCCCAGGGGATGCAACCCCCTCTTCCGTCCTCCCTGAGCACCAGGCACTCAAACGGTAAACAGACATACATACAGGCAAAACAAAAGAAGCAAGGTACAGTGGCGCCCCTGTAATCCCAGCACTCAGGGAGGCGGAGGCAAGCAGGTCAGTAAGGACTACAAAGCAAGTCAAGAACAGCAAAGGATACACAGAGAAACCATGTCTTGGGAAAAAAAATCTTTCAAACCCCCCCCACCACACACACAAAAAGCTTTTGACATTAGAGCTCCATGGTAAAGAGCATGCTTGGAACACTTGAGGCCCTGGGTCCAAGGTCCAGCCTAAATTAAAAATAAAAAAAGCCCTAAAGCCATTAGGTAAAACTGCTTGCTGCCAATCTTGATAACCTCAGTTTGATCCCAGGAGCCCATGTAAAAGGATCTATAGACAGATAAATTCACGCACCACACCTATACAAGCACACAAAAGATGGCTCAGCAGGTAAGAGCACTTATCACTCCTCCAAAGAGCCCAGGTTCTTCTAGTACCTATATGGTTGTTCACAAACATTTACAACTCCAGTTCCAGAGGATTCAATGTCCACTTAAGGCCTCAGAGGGCACCAGGCATACAAGTGGTACACAGATATGCATTCAAACAAACAAACAAATATACGCTTAAAGTAAAAATAAAATTGAAAAACAAAAACACCTGAAATTAGCATTCTAAAAGCAAGATGATGGTATCATTCCCCAATTAGCAACGCTACAAACATTAATGTGTTAAAAATACTGTGTCAAACAAACTAAAATTGTGGTCTAATTGTGGAATGTTTCCACCAATGAGAAAAACCAAAGTCACATTGAATAAAAGATTTAATCTCCAATAATTACGGATCTTTCATAAAATTAATTCAAAATAATTTCTTTATTTTATTATGTAGTGACTGGTTTGTTGATTGTTTTTTTGAGACAGGATTTCTCTCTATAGTCCTGGCTGTCCTGGAGCTTGATATGAAGACCAAGATAGCCTTGAACTCACAGAGATCCTTCTGCCTCTGCCTCCAGAGTGTTGGGATTAAAGGCATGTGACTACCTCACCCAACATTCTTAATTTTAAAATTTATGTGCTGCTGTGGTGGTTTGTGCTACACTGCTGAACTTTCTAAGTCTGGCTCCAGCTCTTTCTGAAAATTGTTAAGACTAGAAAAAATTAAGGGATAAACAAATTTTCAAATAATTCCAAATCCATAAAGCCCCAGTGTCTTGTCATGAAGAAGATGAAGGACAAATGTATAGAAATGGAAGCAAAATGAGTCGCTGGTTAGAGTTCTGGCTTTAAAGACATGACTGAATTCCCAGCTGCATTGTCTTGCTAGTTGTGTGCCCTCAGACAAAATAATAAACCTCCTAGCTTGCTGCCTCGTCTATAAAAATGACCAAAATAATGTACCTCAAATTTACCTCATGGGAAAATCCTGCAAGTTACATGACTTACTGCATCTAAAGCACTAAGATCAGTAAGCAGCCAGCATTTGTTAGCACACTGGTACTCAACCTGGGAAAGAGCTCCCTCTTTCACCACAGAATTACACTACACATTCTTACACGGTCCCCAAAGACAGCCCAAAAGATAAAGAACCACTTTTGTTGGCGGTGCTGGGGAACGAACCCAGGTCTGGATGCTAGGCAAGCGTTTCATTCTAAAACTACACCTCAACTCCTGAAACCACTTTTTCACACAAAGCGGTATAGGGCTAGGGTCCCCAGAACCTAACCAGTGATTCCTGACCTAAGCGAAGTTAAAAACTAACGTTGGTCTTTTTGCTTCATACACTTGTCAAATCGGAACCTCAAGACATCCGACTGAAAACTGGCTTTTTGTTTCTTTACAGAAGTTTAATCGGTACAGCATTGTAATTCCAGTTACACCTTTACATTCGTGGGATGGGTAAAGCGGCCCTGCGAAAGAGTAGCCATTAATCTGTCCAAGGTCACGCATCGAATTCTGAAGAGGGGTAGCGGTAACCACCTCTCTCAACCCGGCAAACCCCAGTTGATAAACCCTGACTAGACAGAGCCCCGGAAGGTGCTCTGAGGAGCTTGTTCCCGGGCCTCAGGGCACCGAGAAGGGTAAGAACCAACCTCCTGGCCTTACCTCTTTGGGGTCTCCGGAGCCGGTAAGCATCTTTCGCTCGTCCTCTAGTCCCATGTCAGACGCTGTTCGGGATTCGGCACGAAGAGCAACAACGGTACCTACTCCACTTGAGGACCAAGAAGGACTTGTAAGGGTCACTCGGCGGATATCCGGCGACCTGGCCGGAAGTGCGGCATACTCATCGTAGTCCCGAACACATGCACAAATTGGCCCGTACCACTCGCTAGCTGCAGAAGGTAGGGGAAGCTGGAGTATATGCCTGAGGAGGATTTGCTAAGAAACGTCCTTTTGGCCACTCCCGGCCCAAATGCATTGACGTGCTGTGACTCTACAGAGATTCCTTCCTAAGATACCTGGAACGCCTGCGAGTTCCTTTGACATTCTTCTAGCGCGGTTCCTGTTCGTACCCATATTAGCTATGGAGCGCTCCTAAGAGCTGACCTCTTCAAGATGGCGGCCCGCGCGTGTCATTCTCGGGCTCGCGCACCTCCCCAAGATGGCGGCGCCCGAGGCCTGGCGCGCCCGGAGTTGCTGGTTCTGTGAGGTAGCGGCGGCAACGACCATGGAGGCCACGTCCCGGGAGGCGGCGCCAGCGAAGAGCTCGGCCTCGGGCCCCAGCGCTCCCCCCGCCCTGTTCGAGCTGTGCGGGCGGGCAGTGAGTGCCCATATGGGGGTTCTGGAGAGCGGGGTGTGGGGTAAGTGGCGGAGTGAGGGGCGACCTCCGGCAGCGAGCGGGGGCGGCCCAGCGGCTAGGGGGCGCGGGGGGCGAGGCCGAGAGGCCCGGGGCAAGGCCCAGCCCGGGGCACTGGAAGGCAGATTATTGAGTCGGAGCATGAAATCCGTGACTGACAGGGCTGGGCAGAGTGAAGACTGAGACCAGACGAGCCAGCGGACCCCAACCGCGGCTTGCCCGGGGGGCGCGGGGGTCGAGGCCAGAAGGCCCGCTGTGGGGCGAAGCTGCCCGGGCCCTAGCGACAGGGGCTGGAGTGGCAGGCCGGAGCGCAGGCTCGGAACTGACACCGGGCTGGGGCCGCCCTGGACTGGGGACTCTCGGATGTGGAGCCGACCGACGGTCAGGGATGGCCGGGCCGCCTCCGGGCCGGGGCCGCGATTGGCAGGCCCGACCTGAGGCAGGGAGGCCAGGCCCGGGGCCTCCGCTGTCTGCGGCGTACACCGCGGATAGCAAGACTCCCGAAGCCCAGCGGATGGGCGGGGTGGGACGGCCGAGCCGAGAGCGAGGGAATGGGGCTGGGGGAGAGGCCGAGAGGCTGGGGGCGCCGTGGCCTGTTTGACGGCCCAGGGGCTGAAGGGAGCGCACCGACGCCTCGCTGCTGATCCGCCCGCAGAGCAGGTAGCACCGGAGGCCCCTTGGATAGGCCAGGGCGGTGGACATGGGTGGAAAGTGAGTGGACCGGGCCGGCAGAGGTTCAGCAAGCAAGGACAGGCTCGAAAGACCCGCCGGCGGGGAGGGCCGAGGAGGCCTCAGGCGGGGCAAGGGCCAAGGCATCTCGGACCGAGGAGCCCGAATGGGATTAAGACGCGTCCTGGTGAAGAGGCCTTGGTCCATATGGGAGGGAACCGAGGCCTCAGGCCTGAGAGCGGTCGGTACCAAAGGGCTGGACCTGTCGAGGTCCGAACTGAGCTAAGGCCAGCGGCCTGGAGCGCCCCGACCAGATGGTCTCAGGGAGGCCCTGCTGTGGGAGGATACTGCGCGCTAGAGGCCTGGCAACTTATGAGGGGAAAGAATCCACGATGTGAAAAGTGGTAGAGAGTTAAAGAAAAAGTTAGGGCCCTCCGAGGCAGGCCTGGCTTCAACAGAGACAAGGGAGGCCATGGCCTGACAGAATGGTGGTGGTGGAATAGTCAGGCAGAAGTTGGATGAAATCACAGGTCAGGCCAAATGGAAGATGCAGGAGGAGAGGGTAACATTAGAGGAGGCTTCTGGCCTTGGAGTATACAATGGATGTTACACCAGAAGGTGCCATGATGGTGGTGACATTTTTGCCAAGAAGGAAGGCCCTGGTCAGTTAACATTTGAGGTTAACGGTTTTGCTAAACCATGAGGAGGTGGGTTTGAAGGGTTGCCACTCCAAAATAAGTTCCAAGGCTCTACAGAGTGGCCATTTAGGCCCTTTTGTGGTTGGAGTGGGCCACCACTGCTGAGAAGGCCCAATTGCCTTCCTATATGTGGGGGTAGGGGAGAAGAGAGAGTTAAGAAGTCCTTAGGCCCTGTGTGAGCAAAGGAGGTTCTGGAGGCCCAGTGCCAAGCTGAGAGGAAAAGGTCAGGCTGACCCCATCGTGAATGGGAGAAAGGCCTCAGTGGGGCTGAGTAGGGCCTCAGAGAAGTCCTGGGAGTGTGGAAGCCTGCATCAGCCTGGAGATTCCTAGATGCTTATCTTGGCTAGAAGGAGTTCAGTGGTATGGAGGCCCCACCTTGCAAAAAGGAAGCATCTTTAAAAAAAAAAAAAAAAAAGTATAAGCTAGAAGGAAGCAAAGAAAAATACATTAAAGTTTGTGGATAGAAGAGATATTCCTGTGAGTGTGAGAGGGGATGACTTAACAGAGAGCAGACTGGAAAGGGAAAAAGGGGAAGCTCTGAAGGCAAGGCTTTTCTGTCTCCTTATCACTACTTCATTGTTGTTGGTGGAGCCCAGCCTGGCTGAGAGGAGGTAGGGGAGCCTCTAGTGGGCTAGATGAAGTAAATAGCCATCCAGCAAGAACTTTTAGAGGGGCCACGGAAGAGGCCTGTCAAGCAGTGCTATTTTGAAGGGAAGTTCACAGAGTGAGCTAGAAAACAGTCAAGAAAGGCTGCTTGGAGGACTAGCATTGCTGAGAGGAGAGGGTAAGAGATGCAACACAACAGTGAGGAAAAAGCCAAACAAAACAAAAGGCCAGTGAGGTGGTTCAGCAGTTAGGATACTTGCTGTCAAGCCTGAGGACCTAAGGTCAATTTCTAGGACCCACATAAAAGAAATGGCGCCTGCAGGTTGTCCTCTGACCTCATATACCTGTTGTAGGACATTCTCAAAGTACAGTGAGAAAAGCTCAGTAGAATAAGCTGTGTAACCTTAAATACCAGGATGGGAGGTTTGAACTTTATCTTGAATGGAGAGCTTTTGAAAGATTTTGAGCAAAGCAGTGTCATCAGGAAGAACAAGATTCAGAGAGAATAAGAGACAAAGGTCAGAGAAAACAGTTCGTTCAGATGAGAGGCCTATGTTAGTATAATATAGCACGAGGAATTAATGCTCTCATTCAACAGGTACAGTGAATATCATTGAGTATTCACTGATAGATACAGAATGGCACACTAGATTCTCGGATCTCAAGATTCAGTTATTCCTCAAGTACAGAAAAAATACACTGAGGAAGAGCTATGTGTGCTGACTCACACCTGTAATCCCAGTGCTCAGGGGGCTAAGACAGAAGGACTGCCTGAAGTTACAAGGCAGCCAGGGCCGAGACCCTGTTTTTTATTTAAAGAAAATAGAGGTGCTGGAGAGAGAGAGTACTCCTTTACCCGGGACAGTTCGGCTCCTAACACGCATGTCAGATCAAAACTGCCTGGAACTCCAGTTCCAGTGGATCTAATACCTTAAATACATAATTTTTAAAAAAATCTTTTTATGTATCCAAAATGTGTTTATTGGGATGGCTCCCACTCATCTTGAATCAGGTGCATTCAGTACTGCTTCTTCCTGAAGGAACATTCCTTCTGTTAGCCTTGCTTTTCCGTAGGCTGACAAAGAACAGTGGAGCAGCCAACACACAATACCACCATTTGTGCATGGCTGAAAACCATGGTGATTTTATAGCATCCTGGGCATTTCACATCCATAAAGTATGAATTGGGGCTCTGCACCAGGTGCTTTTTCTTGTGTTTCCTCTTCTCTTCTAGAGAGGGATGAAGGAAATCTTTTGCGAGAGGCATGTTCTCTTAGGGAGGTTGTCACCACCGGAAAGCAATAAAATATTTTTTTAAGTAGATCAAGGAATGGAAGTTTTGTATACTAGAAGGTCTTAAGCTTAATAGAATAGACAGAATGAACATAATATAATCAATATTTGCTGATCTTATTATGGACAGGTATTGTGTTAAATAAACAAATTACAAGCATGATCTTTAATGTTATGAGGCAGTCATTTCTATATTCCCTCCTCACACAACCCCAATCCAGACACCCAATTCTTTTTTTTTAATTGAGTCAAGGTTTTGCTATGTGATCCTGGCTGTCCTGGTACTCATTATGTAGCTCAGGCTAGCTTGAACTTGAAACAATACTCCTGACTCAGCCTCCCAAATGCTGGAATAAGATTTTGACTCAAACAGAACAAATACCAGTTCTTCCTAACTTCTCTAGTTCTAACAGGGAGTATAATAAGTTCTAGGACTTTGTATCTAGAGTTGAACAGTTAATTGTATATTGGACAAGTTACTCAACTTTTTTTTTTTTTTTTTTTTTGAGACTAGTGCTGCTTTCTGTAATAAGGCCAAGAGGGAAGAATAAGTAAAAACAACCTAAAAGAATGAGGGAAGTTTCATAGTCAGGGCTAGCCTTGAATTCCTGATCATCTTGCCTCTTGGAATACAGGTTAAATTGGTTTTGTTTTTAAGGTATAATGCATTTTAGAGAACAGTTATCTTTAGTTTTCATAGGAAGATACTAGCTCAGAGTATACTCAGAGCTCAATGCTTCTTAGGCAGAAGTATACTGACCTCAATGAGCAGGTCAGTTTGTTTAATTCATCCTTTCTCCTGAATTTTCAGCTGCTTTGAGATAGATAATGTTTAGAACCCAGGAGGAGAGAAAATAAACTTTGTGTTTTGGTTTTTGTAGCCCTCCCAGGCCCAATACTTCAAAGCATCTTACCTCTGCTCAATATATATTACTTGGAGAGGATTGAGGAAACTGCCCTCAAAAAAGGTAAGTGTCAAGGGGTTGAAGAGATGGCTCAGAGGTTAAGAGCACTGGCTGTTCTTCCAAAGGTCCTGAGTTTAATTCCCAGCAACTACATGGTGGCTCACAAAAATCTATAATGAGATCTGGTGCCCCCTTCTGGCAAGCAGGCAGAACAGTGTACACATCAATAAAAATGTGGGGGGTTTTGTCCGTTTGTTTTTTAAAGGAAAAAGTGTCTTTTCTCCTCTTTCTCATTCATGATTGTGAACAAGATACCATGGTATGTTCTTCAGGTAACTGATACCCAAGTAGAACTTCGTGCTTTTCAAAACCCACCTCAGCTAGGTGTGGTGGTGCACACCTTTAATCCCTTTAACTCCCTCTGGGAGTCAGAGGCCAGCTGATCTGTATGAGTTTGAGGCCAGCCTGCTCTACAGAGTGAGTTCTAGGCCAGCCAAAGCTACATAGTAAGACCCTGTGTCAAAAAACAAAAAAGCACCTACATAGGGTTGGAGAGATGACTCAGTGGTTTCAGAGCACTTGTTGCTCTTGGAAAGAATCTGGGTTTAGGTCCCAACACACATATATCAGTTCACAACTATCTATAACTCCAGTTCCAGTGATCTAACATCCTCTTTTGGCCTCTGTGGGCCTCAGACATGTGGTGTACAGTATACATGTAGGCAAAACACACCACATGAAAAAGAAATAGATCTTTTATAAAAAGTACCTTCACATCTATTTTCTTATATTATTTCCTACAGTGTACTATAATACATATATACCAGCCCTTTTCCTCTGATAAGATACAAACAAGCTAGAACTAGAACTCTTGGATATTAGTGTTTTTATTTTACCAAGCTGTTTCTCATTGGCAAAATTAACACGTAATATTTGTGCAACCTTAATGGGACAAGCAGTTCTAGGTACTTAACCCAGAGAACTTCATTTACTCACTTAATCCTTTTCAACAGTCCTATGAAATAGCTATGACATTTTACAGATGAGGAAACAATTAAGTAGCTTGCCCATGATTATATAGCTTTAGAATAGTTCATTAATAGTCAAACCCAGATCATCTGTCCTTAGAGTCTGTGCTCTTAACTGCTTAGCTAGCTATATTACCCCTCTGAAGCCAGAGGACAATATGAAAGGCTAATATACTTTATTCATGGTGGGCAGCAAGCAGCCAAACAGTATTTCTTCTTACAGGTCTCTCCACTCAGGCCATCTGGCGCCGACTCTGGGATGAGCTGATGAAAACAAGGCCTTCCAGTTTGGAGGTAAGTTAAGGTGTCAGGAAGAACTCTAGCTTAACCTTGCATAATAAAACCAAGTATAACAAACCGACACAAACTAGGAACTACTGAGGAGCAGAGAGTGGATTTGGAAGCTGAGCTCAAGTGATACGTCACAAGGTTTTGGCTCATTTGGTATTTAGTATTGACTTGTTCACCATGATTACAGGGTACATAAAACAGGAAAGGGTATGATCACAGTGGAATGTAGACCCACAATTCCTTGAGTTTTTGCACCAGAGTTGGTACAAAAAAAAAAAAATAAAATAACAGAGCAAGCCAACTCACCTTTGCTAAGTACAAAAGTTTAGTTCGCAAGGCCTTGGTACATTCATCTGGCTTAGAAGAAGCTATATAAAAAGAATAAGTGAGTAGGGTCTGGAGAAAGATGGTTCATCACTAAAGAGAATTGGCTGCTTTTGCAGAGAACCTAGGTTCAGTTCCCAGCACCTACATGGCACCTCACAACTATCAGTAACTCTGGTTCAAAGAAATACAATACCCTCCTCTGGCCTCCTGGAGCACTAGACACATATGTGATGCATACATGTAGACAAAACACTCATACACATAAAATAAAAAGAATTAAGGACTAGTAAACAGTGGTTGAAGCTTCTCATTGTGTACCCTGATCTGTGTGAGCATGGATGAGTGTGCGTGTATAGGACAAGGAAGAGGATTATCCTAAGTGTTTCTGCAGTAGTCAGGCTATCTTTCCCTAGAAGATAGGGAAAAAAAGCTCAAAACCACAATATTTGAATCACATTTGAAATATGAGATGTTATTTCTGAAAAAGACAAACATAGGCTGCAAATTAATAGACTTGAATCTTAAAGAAAATACATTTTTGCTAACCTAAAAGTGGAACTTTAAGATTAATAATAAAGCAAGCTAATTTCAGGAGTAATAAGCATCTTGTTACTAAGTATTCAAACAGACTGGATAACACCTTGACATAAGAACATTTGGGCATACAGAGAATTCAGAATCATGAGAGGGGTTGGACAGGGTCTCTAGTAGGATTCCTTTTGCCCCAAAATTCTATTTACTAATTCAGATCAAAAACCACTGGAGCTCTTAAACAGAAGTAATAATGGCCTTCTGTCAACTTTAGAGAAGCATACTTTCAATATTTCACTTATAGTATGGCTGACCAGCACGTGATGCCATTTTTCTTTATGCAACATTATCTCAAACTTCTAGAAAGTTATTTAGTTTGTTTTCTTGGCTAAAACCATTTCAGAAGATAGGGAGGTTCAGGCTGGGCAAGAACCTCCCTAAGTTATTTAGGCAGAAGTTCTGATTTGGTACATACCTGTTCCAGATGTCTTTTTCTGATTCCTACTTTAGCACAAAAACAGTCTTCATCTTACCTATAATTTAAAAATATCTGTTGAGGATTTTGAAGTATAGCTCAGTGATTCGAGTGTTTGCCTAGTATGTATAACACAACAAATTTAATATCCAGCACTGCCAAAACAAAAAGGCAAAACAAACAAAAAACCAGTAACAACCAAGCCACTTTTTGATCCTGCTTAGTTCTAGGCACTAAGCTAGATTCAAAGAACATCAGTGCAAATAAAATAAAATTATTCTGTTTCCAGCACTCACATCTGTTGTTTGCCTGTAACTTCAGCTCCATAGGAGCTGATGCCGCCTTCTGGCCTTCACGGGCACACACACAAATAAAAAATTTTAAATATAGACAATAGGAAAATCATAATAGAATAAAATGAACAAAGAGTTAAACACATTACAGAAAGTACCAGTAGAGAATGAGGATATAGTTTAGTTGCTAGAGTACTTGCCTGGCATATTCAAAGTTCTGGGTTCAGTATCCAGCACTGTATAAAACCATGTACAGTGGTACATATAAATGTAATTCCAGCACTTGGACTATGGAGGTAGGAGGGTCAGAAGTTCAAGATTATCCTTAGTTATATATCAAGGCCAGCCGTTACTATGTAAAACTGAGACCCTGACTTCAAAAAACTCCAGTGATAGTGGGGCAGGGTGGCACACACCTGTAATCCCAGCACTCTGGGAGGCAGAGGCAGGTAGATGGATCACTGTGCATTCAAGGTTAGGCTGGTCTAAAAAGGGAGTCCAGGACAGTCAAGGCTACACAGAGAAACCCTGTCTGAAACAAACAAAAAACTGCAATGAAATAAAAAACATTCAGTGTCATAATATGTGTGGAAGAAAATTTTTACCTCATGTAAAACTTTTTTTTTTTCCCGGGGTGGGGTACAAAATGTCATTCTTAGGATCAACCAGATACCTGAAACTTGTGCCTTAGTGTTTTGTTTGTTGGTTAAAACAAACTGTCACATTCATTCATTCATCCATCCATCCATTTATTTATTTAAAGGTAAACAGGTTGTTTACCTTTGCACTAATAAAGTTGGGAAAATGGTACGTGCCCATGTTACTGCAGGGGGTTCATGCTATGAGAACACCCTTAAAAGAGCTTCCAAAATAAAAATATGTCAACAGGACCAGCCTATGGTAGTTCCCAGGCATGCTAAATATATTCAGATGTGCTTTCTTTATTGAGCAAAAAAAAAAAAAAAAAATCACTGTAAAAGTCACATGCAAAATCAGAAAGCCAAATTAAAATGGGGCTTTTGAGGGGTGGAGGGATGCCTCAGTGGTTCAAAGTACTAGCCACTCTTCCAGAAGTGCCAGGTTTAGTTTCCAGCGTGTACATGGTGTCTGTAATTTTAGTCCCA